AAAAATGAGCATCTGAAAAGTACAGTGGCCAATAAATACATGAAAACATGTTCAACATTGCTAGCTACTCTAGAAATGCAAATTATATCAATACTGGTATTGCATCTCACTTCAGAAAGAATGGCTAACTTCAAGAAATCAAATAATAACAAATGTTGGAAAGGCTGCAGGGTAACGGAACCCTTCTTGATTGTTGGTGAGAGTATAAACTTACACAATCATTCTGGAAATCAGTGTGGAGATTCTTCAAAAACTAAAGGTAGAACTTGCATTCCCATCTGTTCCCCTTCTAGATATCTTTGCAAAAGAGTAAAAGACATCATGTTATAGTGATATATGCATACTAATATATAACAGCACAATGTATGATGGCTAAATCTTGGAAGCAGAATCGATAATGAAAATATATTTATACTTAATTTAGTACTACTGTGTTCTAAAGAAGGATAAATTTGAATCATTTGTAGGAAAATGGAGGCACTTTGAGACTATATTGTTAAGTGGAATAAGATACACAAGCTTAAATATCACATGGTTTTTCTTAGAAGCTCAATATAGGTAGACAGTGTTATAGGTTTTGGAATTTGTGGATACAGATTTAGAAGATTACTATGAACAAAATATTTTACATATAAAAAGAAAGGAAGATTGCAAGTTTGAATCCAGCCTGGACAAGTTAGTGCCTAACTCAGTGTCTCAGAATAAACACTAAAGAGATAGGATGTAGCTCAGTGAGGAGGCCCTAGGTTCAGTCCTCAGAGTGCAAAAAGAGAAGAAAAGAAAGCAAGGGCAGAAAGAAAAGGGTGTTTATGAATCTATTTGTGGTTGTGTGCTATTAGTAGAACCAATAAATTGTAAGTAAAATGTTAAAAGTGAAAAATTCAATTCATTGCTAGGAATTAGAGATAAAGGTGATAGAATATTCTTTTTATTCTGTGGCCTGAGTTTGAACAAGCCATGTTTTATACAGTATTTCTCAATTACTCTCTAATGGTGACGTTTCAGAGATACAAAGAAATTCAGTTTAGGTCATTAATGTGTAACTGTCTTGTATGCTTTTTGTTAAGTGCTGTGCAGTGAAAACCTTTCTAAGATTCAACATGTTGTTTTTCTCAGAAAATAGGTGAAGCAGATGCATCTTGTAAGTAAGTTTAGGCGTATGCATGTTTATCAAAAGAATATTTCCAGTTAAAATAAAAGGTATCCCTTTGGTCAAATAATTAGAGGGTGAGCAGAAGGAAAAACCAGAAAATACTTTGTCTTATACCAGCCCTTGTACAAATATATGTTTGTAGATAGTCTGCTCCATTCTCTTGCAATAGAGACAGGTTAGAAAGTGTCATAAAATCCCTTCATTATATCATGTATATTTTGTACTTTTCACAGTGTCGGTAATAAAAAATATGGAAAGGGATACTTCTATTCTTGTATGCCATCTTTTGGTTCATTTAATAGTTGAAAAGAATGTAGTTTTTTCTCTAAAACTTTGTTAAAAATGTAACACACGTAGAAGACAAAAGAATAGAACATACTTATATAGACAATTTTAAAGGATTTTTTTTTTTTTTTTTGGTGGTACCAGGGATTGAACTCACGACCTCATACCTGCAGGCACTTATACTGCTGAGCTAAATCTCCAGCCCTATTTTAAACATTTTACATTTCCTTTTTCTGTATTTTTTTGCTGAACCATTCCAAAGTCAGTTGTAGATGATGACAGTGTATTTTACTCCTGAATACTTTGTTATTCTTGTGCTAAGCATAAAGACATTTCCCGGAGTATCAGTGTCATTAACACCCCTAAGAAAATCAAAGATTCCAAAATATCATCTAATTTCTAATCCATATTTAACATTTCCCAGTTGTCTCAAGAGTACTTTTTGAAACCAGGATTCAATTAAGCCTAACAAATTTTCTTTAGTTACTGCATCTTTATTTTAATCTAGAATAACTCTCTACTAAGAATAAGTAATTGATATAGTTTTCTTGTAGAAAGCCTAATATTCTTAATTTGTATGATTGCTTTTAAACTCTTCTTTTTAAAAAAATTAACTGTTGGTACATTTTTGAATAATAATCACATTCATCAAAGGGAATTTTTACCTGTTCATAATACATCTCAATTCTACCTTTTTTTCCCATTCTCCTTCCATCCTGTCAACCCTTCTGCCTATTTACAAATCTTTGTTTCCATTTTTCCTTCTATTCCTTTTTTCCCCTTTCCCTTCCTTCCCTGCTCTTTATCCTCTCTTTTGTCCCCTTTCCCATTTCAATATTTCCTCACTACTACCTAATATCTGTCATCCATTTTGATACTTATTTACCCTTTCAGTTTCTCACACAAGAGAAAGTGCGCTATTTAACCATGAGTATCTGATTTATATCACTTAAAATTATGTTCTCAAGATGCATCCATTTACCTAAAAATGTTTCTAGTTTATCCATCTTTATAGTTGTATAGTATTCCATTATATATAAAACCTACATGTTCTTTATCCACTCGCCCATTGATGGGCACTGGGGTGTTTCCAAGATTTAGGTATTACACATTGTGCTTCTATAAACATGGGTGTGCTGTGGTATGATGCTTTAAATTCTTTTGGGATGATAGCAAAAAGGGAAATAGCTACGTCAAATGGAACTCGAAGGTTAGTTTTTGAGGAATCTCCATATTGGTTTCCATAGTGGTTGTACTGTTTTACACTGCCAACAGCATAGAAGGCTTCCTTTTCTCTACAGCTTCACTAGTATTTGTTATTGTTTGATTTCTTGATGATAGTCATTGTTTCTGCAGTGAGATGGAGTCTCAGTGTTGCTTTAATTTCCATCTCTTGAATGATCAGTGATGTTGAACATTTTTTCATATATTTATTTGCTGTTTGTATTTCTTCATCTGAGAAGTTCTGTCCTTTCAGATTCCAATTTTTAATTGGGTCTTTAAATTTGGAGGGATCTGATTTTTTTTTTTTGAGTTCTTCATATATTGTAGATATTAGTCTTTTGTCTGAGGAATAGCTGGTAAAAATTTTTTCCCATTCTGTGGGCTGTCTCTTCACTTTGTTGGTAGTTTCTTATTTGTCATTTGTATTTCTTCATCTGAGAGGTGTGTATTCATCTGAGATGCCCATTTTTAGATTGGATTTTTGAATTTCATTTGTTGTTGTTGGTTTTCTTGATCCTGGCCATTCTTTCAGGAGTGATACGGAATCTCAGTGTGGTTTTAATTTGCATTTCTCTAATGACTAATGATAATGAACATTTTTTGTTGGTAGTTTCTTTTGCTGTGCAAAAACTTTTTAATGTGATGTGATCTTTGCTGATTCTTTGTATGATTCCCTGTGCAACTAAGGAATTGTTTAGAAAGTCTTTGCCTGTGCCTATGCACAGGCTTAACACCAGCTTTCTTCTTTCCCTTCCTTCCTTCCTTCCTTCCTTCCTTCCTTCCTTCCTTCCTTCCTTCCTTCCTTCCTCATTCTCTCTTTGTACTGGGAATTCACCATGGGTCTTGTGCATGCTAGGCAAGCACTAAACTACTGCTACTGATCCTGAGCCCAGTCTTTTTTTCTTTCTGTTTTGTCTTACTTTTATTTTGTTTTGAAAGAGCCATGTTAAGTTACCCAGGCTGGCCTCAAACTTGCATTTCTTTCACCTCAGCCTCCTTAGTAGCTGGGATTATAAGCGTGTGCTAGTATGCCGCACAGCAGCAGCTTGTTTAAATGAACAATATAATTGGTTGTGTTTCCTTTGCATCGAAAGTACTGAGATTAGAGGAAATCTAGAAAATATGATTTTCAAGGAAATCTAGAAAATATAATTTATAGTTTTTTAGCAAACCAGAGGGAAGTTAGAGTAGATGACCTGTTTATCAGGACTACTAATCTTATAGCTCTCTTTCTTATTTCATACTCTTATTTTTCTTTTTACTAGCTTTCCTAGTTTGGCTTTTTTAAAAAAAACTTGCTACCTACATAAATTTTTGTGGATTTCGCTGTACTTATCTTTAGTGTGAAAAAACTTAGACTAGGTGATCGCTAAATATTTCATTAGTAAAATAATTAACAATTTCTTCACTATCCAGTTTTAGTTTAGTATTGCTTCATTTATAAAGTCTTATCTGATACTGTAAACATATTTTTTTTGTTTTGCCCCACAAATTCTTTTAGCACTTATAAAAATGTAAACAGGTCAATATATATTTTACTTATACATTTGTTTTTATGGTTTTAATGCAATTATAAGCTTTTTGAAGACTTCCCTTTCTTTTCTCATTTAATTACAATGATTTTACAATTATTAATTACTATGTGGTAGTCATGTTATAAAAATCACTATAACATCTGTGAATACTAACATTGAGGCAGGCATTATTTTAAATATTTTATGTGTATCCATTAATGTAACTATGAAGATATTTATGAGACAGCCTCTGTTATCTCCATTTTATTCATAAGGAAAGGCATGCAAAGTTACGTAAATTTTCTCATAGTGATGATGATGGTAGGCCAAGGTGGGATATGAACCCAGGCAGGCATGTTTCAAAAATTTATGAATCCAGGGCTTGGGATTTAGCTCAGTGGCATAAGCATCTTCCTTACAAGCAGGCGGTCGTGAGTTTGAACCCTGGTACCGATAAAAAGTTAAAAAAAAATTAAAATTAAAAAAAATTTATGAATCCTTACAGTATACTTGTTGAGCGAATAGTGTTTCACTTTTAATATATGGATACAGGGTTGCTACTCTATTTGCACTTTGAATAAAATACAGTATATTTAATTTGGGGAAGAATTTTTAACAAACAGGGACAAATAACTTTCATAGCAAACTAAATATTGTAAGTAGCCTTCGCACTTAACAGCAGATATTCAAATTGCATATGTATACTGTGAAGGATTTTGAAAAATCCTTTTGGTTTTCAAAAAAGTTTGTAACATACGTAATATTTATAGATGGATTTTGGTTTATATGATGTGACTTAATTGTTGTTTCTTGCTCATTTTTAGTTGAGTGGTGATTTTATGCAATGGCTTCAAGCCACAGTTCTTCACCAGTGCCTCAAGGAAGCAGCAGTGATGTTTTCTTTAAAAAGGAGGTAGATTCAACCAAACACATTCGACCTGTGCAGTCACTGCCAGATGTGTGTCCCAAGGAACCCAGAGGTACTGCTTTCTTTCTTTTTTATTTTTGATGGAATTTTACTGTTGATTTGTGTTACCTTGTAAAATTTCAAAAACTGACCTTAATATAGTAAATTTTATAATGTTAAAAATAGATGAAGAATTTAGAAATAAATTAATTGGGAAATTGGGATATAGTTTTTTCATGCATTTCTATAAAAGAAGTTATTTATATTAGCTGAAAAAGTATTGAAAATGAAGATATAGACTAAACAAAGATGCTCAGTTAAAACATTTTATTGTCAGTCTTCCTTGTTTGCAGATTCTAGTCATTGCAGAATCTCTTGCTTGTAACCCCAGTCAGTATTCATGTTCTTTTGTGCTCATTTTCAGACATGGACAGAACAATAAAATATGACACACATATTCTCATGTGTGACTGAATAGGGCAGGTCCTACCTTCTTTATCTCTTATACTGTGAAAAAAGTGTCCTTCTTGTTGTCTATTTAGTGCTGTATGTTTTGCATTTTTGTGCTTTTTGTTGGTGATTTTGCTGCTTAAAATGGCCTCCAGGCATAGATGGGCTGTATAGTGTTCCTAAGTGCAAGAAAGCTGTGATGTGCCTTATGGAAAAAATACATGTGTAGAATAAGTGTTGCTCAGGCAGGGATTATGGTACTGTTAGCCATGAGTTTAGTGTTGGCAAATCAATGCCACCTAGAAAATAAGGTATCTTTAACCAGAAACATACACCAAATAAGGTTATCTATTGAAAATGTGATCTGAAGTTCACAGAAACATTACTATTAACTTCATATAAAAGCAATAGTTCAGTACTGTATTTCCTAGTTACTTGTTCACAGTGACATAGAATAAAACTGCTACAAATAATGAGAATCAAGAGTGCATTTTTCTTTTCTCTATATGCTGTAGACTGTGTAGTTTTGCTTTCCTCTCTGGTTAATGTCACTTGGAGTACCTACCATAATGCAATTTTAGGACCTTGCACTTGCCAAGCAGGAACTGTGCCACTGAGCTATCTCCCTGGCCCCATAATGCAATTTTAAAAGAAGACTAAAAAGATATAATGTATTTTTATTTTTGTAAAGAATGATAAATTGTACATTAAAAATGAGGAAATTAATGAAAATATTTTCTTTATATCCACCTCATCTGGAAACTACTGCTCTCAGATTTTGCATATCCTTTATCATGTACAAGCATTTCATTTTAGCACTTGATGCTGCAAGATGATTATTTAATGAGATTGACTTTTACTAATAATTTACCATGAAAGAATGAGTTTGACTGGTTTAGGTAAAATGGAACCTAAGCATTTGTATTTTTGTTGGATATAATTATAAACATAAAATCAATTTTACAGAATTCTTTTCTTTACTTTTTACAGGTGATTCAACTAGTTTATGTGTTGCCCCATCTCTAGTTACAGATCAACATAGGTGGACTATATATCATTCCAAAGTAAATCTCCCAGCAGCATTAAATGATCCTAGATTAACAAAAAGAGAATCTGACTTCTTCACAAAAACATGGGGATTGGACTTTGTAGACGCAGAAGTCACACCTTCATTCTACCTCCCACAGATCAGCAAAGAACACTTTATAGCATATCAACAGGAAATCTCTCAGGTAATGTTGAAGGTTGAAATTTATTAAGTCAGGTCAAAAGTAAAATATAAACATTTTTAGTTTATTGGTTGTAGACTTTTGACCAATAATTTTTGATGAGCCCATGGCATTCTTTTTTATTCATACAAATTCTGATATCCTGGGTTATGTTTAATTCTTTCCTCAGATATATTTTAATGCATTTCTCTTTCTAGTGATTTTTTCAGAATTATACATTACTATTAGTACTAAGAATTAAGAGTCAATAAAAATATATCCTATCTACCAAGAATAAAAATGGTTCTGTTAGTCCTATAAAGCCCAGATCATGTGTGAGATCTGAGAAATTAGCAGAGTAGAACTGTTACTGTGTCTCATTTATCAAAGACAATCTAACAGAACATTCTATCTCTAGCTCATAGCCTTACTATATCCAGATGTAATTGTAACTCAAGTTTGTTGCTTTATACTCAGTCTGAAAGCAAGAGCTAGTATGGTTCTCATTCTAGAGATGGCTTGTTCATTCATATTTAGATTTTTAGTGAGTAGCTATTATCAGTATACTCCCAGAGTCTTCTTTTCTTGCTTAAAAAGTTGAAATGATGTAGGGAATATATCTGAAATAAATACATATGTATATACAAATATATGTACTTTATATTATGTATACATTTATGTGCCTATACATGAGTTTGTGTGTGTGTGTGTGTGTGTGTGTGTGTGTGTGTGTGTGTTTGTGTTTGTGACAAGGCATTGCTGTGTTGTACAGGCTGTCCTTAAACTCCTGGGCTCAAGCAGTCCTCCTGCCTCAGGCTTCCAGATAGCTAGGACTGCAGGTGGCTCAATACTCATTTTTTTTTTTTTTTTTTGTCTTTTTCCTTTTTATCGGTACCGGTGATCGAACTCACGACTGCCTGCTTATAAGGCAGGCGCTTATGCCGCTGAGCTAAATCCCCAGCCCTCAATACTCATTTTTATAACTATTAGTCTTTATGCTGTTTCATTCACAAGCCTAATTTGAATTTGGCTGATTTTATTTTACTTGATTATTTTGTTCTTTTTTATGATTTGGAGACAGATTGACTATGGTTGTACAATTGGTATTATCATTGCACAGTATCTAATTCATTTTTGTACCAGCAGATATTTTATATAAAGCATACAGATCACAAGTTAAACTAGGTAACACCATATATCTATTAGAATAGCTAAAAATCTTTTGTATTTATAGATCTTAGAGTGGCATCTGGTTCATGAAGCACACTTGTTACTTGTATTTAAGTTCAGAAGGCTAGTGATTTAATATTAAAATTATAGAACTAATTTGGCATATTTTTATATTTCTATATAGCATTGATTGTTATGTGTTTAACTGTTTTGTTTTCTTAATTAGAGAGAGAAGATTCATGAGAGATGCAAGAACATTTGTCCTCCTAAAGATACCTTTGACAGGACTCTTTTACATACTCATGGTATGAATATGTGTTATTTGTAGAAAATAAAGCATAACGTACATATTAATGAGTAATCTTAATATTTAAACCTTGCTTGCTGTTATCTATAATTTTTATTTTAAAGCTTTTAAGAAAAATCATAGGTCTATCAGTAGTGTAATTCTTTAGTTTGACAAATATTTAATACCTTGGTATTTGGTACTTTGTGATTAAAAATAGAGAAGTAGTAGTCTTGGACCTCAAGGAGCTTAAGTAGAATTAAAAAAAAAAATAGACCAGTAATTACATCATTGCATATTAAACAGTAGGTTCAGTGTGGTAATGATGACACCAGGGATTTAGTTCATAGTGTAAGTGCCTGTCTGGCAAGTGCGAGGTTTTGAGTTTGATCCCGGTACTAAAAGAAAAAAAAAGGGATGTATGTACAGCATTTTTAACTAAATTCTAGAAATCTTCCAAGGTTGATGAAATACCGTGTTTTAAACTAATTAGTGTGAAAATTTATGTAGGAGGAAAGGTATTCCAGGAAAAGGGAACCATTTATAAAAGCTTTGGTATCAAGCAAGAACTCCTAAAACTATTTAGGAGTAGAAAGAATTGCGAGAGTCTAGTACATTAACTCTCCTGAGAGTAAGAGATAGAGCTGGCACTGTACCCAGGCCTGTGATCATTACAGAGTCTTGTGTACCATACTCAGGAATTTTACTTTTTCTAAAGGCAGTGTAGAGTTACTTTTTCATTTTTTCCTCTTGCCTTTCCTTTCCCTTCCTGTCCCTCCCTTTCCCTTCCTTTTCCCCTCTTTTTCCATCTCTCTGTGTCTGTGCCTGTCCGTGTCTGTGTCTGTCTGTCTGTCTGTCTTTGATTCTTTCTTCTCACTTTTGTCTTTCTGTTTGTGGTAATGGGGATTGAAGCCAAAGCCTTCACACTGAGCTACATACCCAGCCCTTCTTTTGTTTTTTATTTAGAGACAAGATCTCCTTAAATTGCCCAGACTGGGCTTGAACTTGTGATCCACTTGCCTTTGCCTCCCTGGGTACTACAATTATAGCCATATACTAGTAGGCCTAGTTTAGATGTAAGTTTTGATGACCAGTTTGTTCAAAGATAACTTCTAGCTTTCTTGCTTGGGTGTGAGAGGTGCAATTCAGTCACAGAGGCAAGATGGAAGAACAAATTTTGCAAAAGATGGAGACTAGTTGCAGGTTTATAGTTAGGTTACCAACTTGGAGCTCAGGAAAGAGAAATGCGGACTGATACTTGTAGTATAGTAAGCATTATGCTAGATAATACGCTAGACAGTGGCATGGTAGTTGAATTCAAGGATATGAATGGGATTGTTCATGGATGTTGTGAATAGTAAGAAGAAAAGGACAGATGATAGAACACTTGGATCACATTTAAGGGATAAAGATAATTCCACCTTAGAATGACAGGTAGTAAGATTTCAGAAAAGAGTAATTAGTCAGCAGTTAGAATACTGTGGGACAGATCAGTTTGCACACCGAAAAATCTAGGATTTGGCAGTTAAAGATCTTAGGGAAAGCATTTAGATTGAAGTAGTGGTTATAGAAATCCCAGTGCTACAGTGAATATAAGAGAAAGAAATGTATACTAGTAGAGATGTGACAAAGATTTGAAAGTGTGTTGGCTGTAGAGTACACTGTGGAAGAATGTGTTTTCATGGCCAGGCCTAGATGAGGCAAGAGAGGTACATATTTATATAACCCTTAGTGTGAAGTGCTTTCCGACACTTTGCACCCGAGATGACTTCCTGATTTTAACCTAGTTTTAGACATACACTGTATGTTTTTGTTTTTCTTGCTGTTATTCTCATTCTTCTTTGAGTGGGAAAGAACTGAGTTTATTTACTTATATGCAGACATAGAATAATTAGTAAAAGGAAAGTGGTCAAAAGATACAGAGAAGGGTAATTTATGAAGCAAGTTCACAGAAGAAATAGGAGGGAATGGAGTCCAAATACAGAGGATTAATTTTGTAAAGGACTGGAGTATCTTATGTAAACCTTATGTAGATTGGCAGGATTAAAGGTAAAGCTGATTCATTTATAAGTAAGTCAGTAGGTGATACAATCTAAGATGTCTGAAAAGAAAATTGACATGTAATATAAAAGTGGTCTATAATCATAAGAAATTCTGGAAGGGATGGGGTATATTTTCAGCAATACAAACTGTTTCTGTTTTAGAATTTAATTCATTTGCTAACAATATATAATACTTAATTTCACCAAAATTTAGTAAGACCATCAATCTTTCTGTATTATTAAAAAAAAAAAAGATTTGAAGCTGTGTGTAGTGGCACACCACTATGATCCTAGCGCTCTGGGCAGCTTGAGACAGGAGGATCTAAGTTTAAGACCAGTCTAAGAAATTTAACACTCTATTGAGGCAGTATAAAAAATAAAAAAATACGAGGATGTAGCTCTGTGAGAAGCCCTTGAGTTCATTTCCCAGTACTGCAAAGATAGACAAATAGGTAAAATTTAAAAGTAAATTAAACAAAGATTTGAATTGTATTTCTTGTTTTGTTGCTACCAATTGATTAAATTATTTGAAGCATGTTTTATTTAATCATTTGCTTAATATGGTACATATAGTGCATGTATTAGTGGATACTTGATGAGGGAAAAATTCAAGTAGTTACTTTATTGTGACCTGTATTGAATCTGGCAAAATAGTTTATGGAGATATAATTAAGACAAATTTCAGAATCATATTTTTCTTTCTGTAGATAAATCCAGGACAGATCTGGAGCAAGTACCTAAGGTAACGAAGCTTAAAAATGAGAATACTTTTCTTTAGTGTTTGGTCTTTAATTTTGTCTTATAAAGTTTCATTTGGCTGTTGACATTTGGGCCACTTTGCCTCTTCCAGGACTTTGTTGTATTACTTTCCTTTTTTTTTTTTTTTTCCTTTTTAAGTGAAAAAGTAATTGGCAAATTAAAATTGCCTGCCCATGATAGTCTTCCACTTTTATATTGTCATTTTCTTCCTTATTGAAACTTATATACTTAAATCTATTTTAAAAAATAATTTTATTTATTTTACTACTTAAAATTATTAATAGATACTTTCTTTGTATGAAAAATGTCATAGGATTGTATAATATATTCAGTTTTTGTTGGGAAGGGAGTCAGTTGTATTCATCAAATTCTCAAAGAGGTCTGTAGTAATTGTTCTTTAGAATGAGAAAGAAATAGGGGATCATTTTCAAAGTTCTTTGATGTGCACAAAATAAAATCAATAGTGTCACCTAAAGCCCTTCAGAATTTGTTCCATCACAGTCACACTTCGAATTTTTGTCTACTAAGCTTTATACATTTTTTACTTTGGCCACATTGTTTTTTGCTGGTTTAATGGTTTACTTACATTGTTCCCTCAGCCTGGAGGACTTTTTGGTCATCTTTCTTTGTGTAATGCTGTACAGGTTCCTGCTAACATGTCAGTTTTACATGGACAAGTACTATGTAGTTTGTTCTTCAGCTGAGGAAAACTGGTTCCTTTGCCAAATTTCCTTAACATTTTATCTAGAAATGCTCCTGTCCCCCGCCTAAGGCATTTGTCACTCCTTTCCGTACAAGATTTTACATACTTGATATCCATATGGGATTGGTCCTCTTATGAATATCAGAATTCTCAGATGCTTACATCGTCCATTATATATTGTATATTACGTACTCATTAGCTCCTATATCCATTAAATCATCTCTAAATTACTGACAATACCCAATATGATATCAATGCCATGGAAATAGTTTTTTTACTACGTTGTTTAGGTAATAATGACAAGGAAAAGAAGAATGTGCATGTTCAGTACAGATGCAATTTTTTCAAATGTTTTTGATACACAGTTGAATATGAGAGTCAACCATATACATATTTTATTACATTCTTTGGACTGAGGATCCTTGAGATTATGACCTGAATAGTAACTTATCTTCATTTTCTCCCTCAGTGCTTATTGTAAGAGATAATTAATAGGTAATAATTGAATCAGTCAATATTTTTTCATTATAATACTAAAGCAGGAATTAGGAAATTTACTCTTGTTCTTAATTAGATTTTTCCTATCATATGCATACTAGTTTTGTAGATATAGGTGAAGTGAATCAGTAAATAAAATACAGCATAAAAATTAATAAGTTGATTGACTAAACCATGTTTTAGGTCTCATATTTGGTAGTAGTAATACAATGATTAAGGAGCTGTAAATCCAAGGATCTATAAATCAGGAACAGATGGTCTCTACAGAGAGATACATATTAATTAATTTCTGTGAAGTATGAGATAAATAATTGAGTTATGGGTGATGAAGTGATTAATCTCTGTATAATACAGAGGGAAATATTCACCCTTTCATTTAGGACCTGTTCTCCAGATAGGCAAGAAGGGGCATTCTAAGACAAAGGATGTGTAAGAAGTTTAAGCATAAGGAAATATAGAAGATAATTGAGTACTGATAGAATGTGATGTGTAAATAGTGAATGGAGTAGCAAGATACCAAAGAGATAAGTGGAATAAAAAACTTCATAAATTTTAATGCTTTTCTAGATCATTTGGTCTGTGAGTCATGAGAATCCAAGGAGAATGTCAGTTATACTTGATGTTTAAAAAGCCAGGGATAGATTAGGAAGGGAAGACAATAAATAGCTATTTACTGGAAAACAGAAATAATGAAGGACTGAATGGATGAGCATTGAGGAGACAGAGAAGACAGGGAATTCAAGAGACATTTTAAAAATATAATGTGGGTCTAATTGACTAGCTGGATAGAATATGTGAGGAAAAAGGAATATTCTCTTCATAAAATTATATGTGTTTGTTTTTAAATTTTAGTGTGTGTTTAAAAATAATTTTGGAAGAATTTTGAGCAGAGGAAATAGAAATACAAATTAGAAAATTGATAATTGACATTTAAACAACTATTAGCGGGAAATAATAAGGACATTTTAGAAAAGTATGGTACTTCTCTTTGTTATATGCCTGTTGGGATCACATTGGTGAGTTTGAACATGTAGTAATGGATTGACCATCTCTATTGGTAAAAAAACACTTACCTATCTTTTTAAATGAGAATTTTAAGTTTGGTGAACAATGTACAATTTATGATGTAGATTTTTGTGTGAATAATCCCGCCAATTATCTATCACTTGCTTTTGTTCTTAATACTTCAGATCTAATTTTGTTTAATGGTCTTATAATGTTAGAATTGATAATGGGATATAAAGAAAATGTTTAGTCTTATTAAAGAAAATGTGTTTTTTTAATAGATTTTTATGAAACCAGATTTTGCCTTGGATGATTCCTTAACTTTTAATTCAGTTTTACCATGGTCTCATTTTAATACTGCTGGTGGAAAAGGTAATCGTGATGCAGCCTCCTCAAAGTTGCTTCAGGAAAAGGTAATTTCTCTTAGGCTTTTTTTAAATATGGAAAACCTTATTCTGGTTAAGTGGTATCATTTGTGTGAATTTAGATTTAGCTATTTAGTAAGCTGTGTTGTTTAGTAAGCTACATTTCTTTTAATTTTTCTCTTTCCCCCTCCTCTCCCTGTCTCCCTACTTCTTTCTCTGTCTCCCACTTTCCCTATTTCCCTCTCTCCCCTTTACCCCTTTCCCTTCCTTCTTCCCTAAAACTTAATACCTCATTTGTGCTAAGTAGAGCGACATCTGCAGCCTAAGCTCATTTTTGTTACCGATAATTATAAACCTTCTAATCTTAACTGATAAACTAATAGCATTTTGGTTCAATGGAAAATAACATTGTGCTTGTGAAAAAGGAAAAATTTGAGTGTTTCTTAAATGAAATAGTTGATGGAATTTAAATTGAAAGGCTATATTAGCAGAATGCATTGATTTGCATTTCCCAAACAGTTCTGTTATGTATCAACTAATTTTATAAGAAAGATTTAATCACAGAAAACTAACTTTTCCCGAAATACTGTTTTTTCACTTTCACAGTGAAGATTATTTTGAAGTAAAAAGTCTTCATTAAAAATATTTTCATAAAAAAAGTCTTCATAAAAAAATTTTCAGCTTTCCAACTGTAGTCTTTTGCATGTTAGCATTCAACAGTTCTTTAAACTTTACAATGTTCTATATTTCAGAAGTTAGCATGTATAATTTAGAATTTTAAACTCACAGATAATCTTCTAAAACTTGAGTGCTATCAAAAATTTTTAATCTTCATTCTTCTTTTACACTTGGTTTTCTAAAACGGACCATGATTCTTAAAATGAAAAGAAAACACTTTGTTGCACTCTAGGTATGACCTTGCAGTATGAAAATTTGCTTTTGGAAGACTAATCAATAAATTAGGTCCAGTCTTCCTCGGTAACTGAAGAAGAAAGGGGACTGGTTTGGGAGGAGAGGAAAGATAATAGGGGAAGAGACACAAATTTTCTTTTCATAGCTGAAAATGAAAATGAGGTCACTTTTTCCCTTGGCAACATTTTCAAGTATAAAAAAAGTATTCCTTAAATAAGAAAAAATTCACAAATCTGATGAAAATTATGGGTCTACAGAGCACACGCTTGCTCCCAAATTGTATTTTCACATTCCAAGTCTGTATTCTAGTAAGGTAATACCTTAAAGAAAGAAAAACAAAAGCTAATAAAAAAAACTCATCAATCTATGTAGATACTTTTAGAAATCCTTTTAAAATTGCTTCTTTTATTGCATCTTAATAGGAAATAAGTTAAGAAAATATGCCTTTGAAAAGAGTAGTTCAATAGAATATTCGTCAATTCCAAAAGCCATTGAAATTCAAGTGAAATGTTTTTCTCAACCTATATGTTTAGTGACTAAGGTAATGGAAATTTTTTTTTATATTTGTAAGTAACAGAATTAGGTTTACTATATTTATATCTGAAGACTTTTCATTCTGTTCTGGGAGACAGAATTCTAAAATAACATTTTTATACTCCTGTTAAGGTGAACAACTATTTTATCTTGGTAGCTTTAAAGAAAAGGAATGCTGTAACCAGAATCAAAGAAATTTGTGTCCTATTTTGTGCTACTCTGTGCTGTTCTGTGCTGATCTGTGAGGATGCTGTTTATTCACAGAGTGTTTGCCAGTGGAGAAAAGTAGGAAGATACATAGCAGTTAGAAAGGAAGAAATAGTATGTGTTAGAAGTTCATATTTGACATTTAGAATGTATAATGTATAAGAATTAAATATATATGTATATATACACACACACACACACACACACATTTATATGTGCTAGTTGTTTGCAGTGATGGCAGATCTTTTAGAATTTTCAATGATAATACAGAGTCGGATGTGGCATGTTTGTCCTATGTTCACCACCACTGGTTTAAGGCTTTTATCCCTCTTTTAAGTGAACAATACATTGAAAATAAAAATTTTCATAATTGATAAAAGAATTGAAATGTAAAATAAAGAGCCTTGAAATAAAATCCAAATGAATCTACTATTTCTAAAATTTACTACTGAACCACTAATCTGTCTTTTGTGGATTCTTAAGCATTTTGAAGAAGATGGTACAACAGAGAGATCTTCAGATTTCAGAGTTTCAGGTCTGACCAATGTAGGTTTACATTTCAGTTGTGCCACTTGATAATCACATGATTTTATTCAAGTTATTCTTTTTTTGCTAATCTGTGAAATGTGACAACTAACTGTACTTGCATACTAAGGTTATTGGAAACACTATACATATACTGTACCTAGTACACAGAAAGATGAGACCAAAAAGTAGAAATTATAGACGTCTACTGTGTCTGATAAGTGAAATGTGATGTTGGTGGAAACCATAGATATCATTCTGTCTTAGATCTTAGAATTTCTGAAATTAGAATTATAATCTGAGATAGTAATAAGATATTCTTAGCTTTTATAAAGTAATTTTATAAAGTTTGGAAGGTAGTCATGACAGGAGCAGAAGAAGAAGGTAAGTCACCTGCTTTTTTGTCATTTTTTATTTTTTTTGGTTAGTGCATGTTTGCAGTACATAATGATTATTCATGGAGAGTTGGTACATGTACACAAACACATCTTAATTCTGTTTTCATCCCTTCCTCTTGTTTCCTTCTGCCTTACCTTTATCTCTTGGTCCACTTGCAAAAGATCTATCTTCCTGTTTCCTATTATCTATCTTTCATTTTGCTCTTAATGTAGAGTTTTGATTGCTCCTATAAGAAAAACTTGTATGTCTGATTTATTTCACTAAACATTATGGTCTGCAGGTGCATCCATTTTCCTACAAATATTCTATATGGTAGAACAATATTCCATAGTGTTTAATACCACATTTTAAAAAATTGGCCAGTTAATAGACATGTGAAATCACTTCCAAGATGTAGCTGTTATGGATTGTTCTGCTATAAACATGAGTATGCATGTATCACTGAAATAGATCTTTAACTCTTTCAGGAAGAGACCTAGAAGGGGAACAACAGGGTCTAACAGAATTTCTGGTTTCATTTTTTTGAGGTAGCTCCATACTAATTTCATAATGTTCCTACTAGTTCACAATCCTACCAACAGTGTAGAAGGGATCTTTTTTCCCCAGCTGTAGCCTTGCTATTTAGCATTTATTATTATTTGATTTCTTAATGATAGCCATATTTTCTGGAGGAAGATGGAGTCTCAGTGTTGTTTTAATTTGCATTTCTCTAAAGGCCAAAGAGAATCTTTCTTCATCCATTTATTGACCCATTGTACTTCTGAGAAGTGTCTTTTTCCCATAGCCCATTTTTGATTCAGTCTTCTGTGTTATTTTATTTTGGGTTCAAATTTTTTTCTGAGTTCTTTATGCATTCTAGATATTTGTCTTCAGTCTGAGGAATAGCTATCAGTTTTTTTCCCCATTCTATGGGTTGTCTGTTCACTCTGTTGGTTGTTTCCTTTGCTATGCAGAAGTTTTTTTTTGATATAATCCTGTCTGATTCTTGATTCTACTCCTTGTGCAATTAGAGTTCTGTTCAGAAAGTCCTTTCCTCTACCTATTTCTTTAAGAGTTGGATCTATTTCATCATGCAGTAGGTTTGTTCTCTGTCACTGTCTCTGTCCGTCAGTCTCTCTCTCTCTCTCTCTCTCTCTCTCTCTCTCTCTCTCTCTCTCTCTCTCTCTCTCTGTCTCGTACCTGGAATCAAGCTCAAAACCTTGTACTTGCCAGTTAGGCGCTATGCCACTGATCCCTGGCCCTCTATTTTAATGTTTAGATCTTTGCTCCACTTTGATTTTAGTTTAGTACATGGTGAGAAATATGGATCTAGGTTCAATCTTCTCCATCTGGCTATGTTTTCCTCTAAGGTTTGTTTTTGTCAAAGATCAGATAGCTGAATACTACTACATTTGTCAAAGATCTGTTAGCTGGATACTACTACAGTTGTTCTGCAACCTCTGTTCTGTTCTACTGATCCACTTAGTGGTATTTGGTTTTTGTGCTACTGACATGCTGTTTATATCACTGTGACTTTGTAGTATAACTTTTAAATCCGTCACACCATTCATTGTTTTGTGCCTGATTTTAAGGATCCCACAGTGTAACAATTTATACAACAGAATTTAAAATAAATGTAAAAATTTTTTTTGCATTTTCACTTTTAAAAAGTATGTAGAAAGTCAAGGAAGGAATATGTGTAATAGTCCCATTTTTTTTTTTTTTCTTTCTCTTTTAAGCTGAGCCATTATCTGGATATTGTGGAAGTAAATATTGCTCACCAGATCTCTCTGCGTTCAGAAGCATTTTTTCATGCAATGACCTCTCAACATGAATTGCAGGACTACCTCAAGAAAACTTCCCAGGCTGTAAAAATGCTTCGAAATAAAATTGCACAGATTGATAAAGTAATGTGTGAAGGATCACTACAGAGTTTAAGACTGGCACTTACCAGAAATAATTGTGTTAAAGTATACAACAAACTGAAGTTAATGGCCACTGTACACCAAACTCAGCCTACAGTACAGGTGTTGTTATCCACTTCTGAATTTGTTGGAGCATTGGACTTAATAGCAACAACTCAAGAGGTTCTACAGCAGGAACTTCAGGGCATTCACAGTTTCCGGTATGTTAAGCCTTTAGAAATGCTAGAATATTTTAAAGGATAAATATTACCATATAATGTTAAAAATGTAGATGTATTTAAAGTAAAATATCTTTTTTCCTTCTAGATTGATCTCTTTAATAATGTTGTTCTAATATGCAGTAGTAGCAAAACAACTGTAAGGAAAGTATTTATACAAACATTTTAGTAAAGAAGCAAAACTAAAGTTTTTATTAGATTAGATAAATACAAAGCAGCCATAACTTTGACAATAGTAGTTTTGAAAATATTGAAATAGCTTTGTGTAAAAATGATAGACCAAGGTGGAGAGGTGAATGTCAGTAAATTGAAAATTAAATTGATTTAAAAGCTTTTAATGGGTTTTAATTGAGTAGTTATTAAGATTCATTTCTGGTTTGCAGTTTATCTCATTGCCAGAGATTCTGCATGGCAATGTTAAAGGCCTAGTTTCTTGCCTTCCTACTTTAAAAATACCTTTTAAAAAAAAAAAGGCTTGTTGGGCTGGAGATTTTAATCTCTGGCATCAAAAAAGAAGGCTGCAGTTTTATTTTGAAATTACACACAGAAAAGATATTTTAAGGTTAAAATTTTAGATATTTTATATGAAATTACATCAGTGCTTTTATAGACTCGTGCAAGATGTCAAAATTTTATTCTGTTAAGCAGGTTTTCAGCATGCACAAGGCCCTCTGTTCAGTCCCCAGCACTGCATATATGATTTTTAAAAAGACTTTCAAATGCTATGATTGTCTGCATTTTGCTCAAATACCTTCTTCTTACTATTTTCTTTACAGCTTCCTTGTGTAAAGAATGTTTATTCTTTTATGTAAACTATTTCTGTAAAACTATCAGATCAGTCCATTAAGATTATAACTTTAAAAGTTTGATCTCAGAACTTGAATTTTTGATAAACTTCTCTATATGCAAATACTTTTTGAATTAAAAAATACATTACTCTAAAACATTTTTAATAGAGTACTAACACATATTTGAAATAGTTTAAGTTATAACCTTGTTTTTTTGTTCTATTTTACATTTCTGTCATATCTACCTGATGATTTGCTGTCTTGACTTTTTCTTTACTTTTGCTGTAAGATTTTTGAATATCAGTATTTTATATATATATATATATATTTTTTTTTTTTTTTTTTTTTGTACCTGGGATTGAACTCATGACCTCACACTTACCAGGCAAGTGCTTGAGGCGCTGAGCTAAATCCCCAGCCCCTTATATTACTTTCTTGAATAGCTTCACAGATAATTTTACAGCTATCTAACTTTATTTGAAAATATAAGAATTAGTTTTGAATCCTTATGTTTTTGTCTAACCAATCAGGAGAAACTTATATATGATAAGTTTCTTGTTTACTATAAATATTAGTGGTGGAAAATGCGTTTTCCTTAGCTTAAAGCATAAGAAGTATTTTATTTGAAACTCACCTCCCTTTTGAGGCCCTAGGACTTATTGGGGTATTTTTTTTTTTCAAACTGAGTCTTTTTATATAGCCGACATTAGCCTCAAACTCAAGAATTCCCTGCCTTAAACTTCTAAATTCTGAGATTACAGCAGGCATTTAACATTGTACCTTTGTGGAGCATATCTTAGAAAAGCATATATAGTATTCATACTTAAAATACAAATGCTTTCCCCCAATAATAAAACAATGAAAGTACCCTATTGAATTAATAGTTTTACCATTTTATAGATTTTGGTGTAAATTTTAGTTTTTACTGTAGCATTCTTTCTGTTGCTTTTGTAACTTTTTTTTTAAAAACAGACTATGTAGTTCAGGCTGGCCTCGAACTCATGGCAGTCTTCTTGGCTCAGCCTCTGAGTGCTGGGATTACAGACATGCTTTACCACTCCCAGACTTATTTTGCTTATAAAGGAAAATTTTATACCAGAATTTTCCAATAATCAAATTACCACAAATACAAACCTATTTTTAAAAAAAATACTTGGAATATTTTTAATAGTATACTTTTTCTTGTGTACTGTTAATATATTTCTTTGAATCACTAGTAGTAAACAATGCTTGAATATTTCTTTTTTTTTTTGTCTTACTACTACTGAAATTTTTGACCTTGACTTTATTCTCTATATAAATTTTGTTTTTTGGCATATAAATGCCCAGAACACTTTATAATCTCTAATAAAATCTTAAAAGCATTCTGTGTTACTTTATTATTTTCTTTTAGTTTTTTCCCCATATTTTATTATCATTTGTGGTTTTGAAAAAATCTTCCTGTTGAGTTTTATATCTCTTGTATAAGAGCTATTGTCATACATATCTTAATACATACTATGGACCCTGTAGGTTATCCAAGACATTAACAAATATTTTGACATGTTCTACTATTCTTTTTCCTTCCATAATTTTTGTTCCTAATTAACCATTTATATTTACCTGTGATTCTTAATCTTGGCTGCATCATACAACCCACAGAAGAGCTTCAGAAAGGTATAGCACAACCCACACAAACCTACAGGATAAGCCTGAGTATTTGTGTTTTTTAAAGTTCTCTCAGAGATTCTAACATGCACCAGAATTAAGAAACCATTGGGGTACTCTACTTTTTTTAGAAGTTAGAATTAAAGTGATAGCTTCTTCCTACATAAATTTATTTCTTTTACAGTAAAAGCTTTCAACTAAAACTTCTGTCTCTATTCAAAAAGTGCTTATCTGATGTCAGAAGACATCAGATCAGAAGTCTGCTCCCCTCTTGTGAACCTGAAAGGTTTTGACTTACTGTGTAATTCATAATTACTACAGTATTTCCTTTGTACATTTGTTGATTTTGTAATTTAAAAAAATTTTAATAGCTTTATTGCCTAAATGTTTGGCAAATTGGACAATTTTAATTCTTAGGACAGAAATGTTTGTAACTATTACTCATGAAATTAAGTTTAGCTATTTACCAATAAAAATGATCACTGAAATATTTATGCCCTATACTAACTTTAACTGAAAGTATTGTTAATGTTAATATTTAAACACTTAAGCAGATATAATGTGGAGTCTTAAATATGGGCTTAAACATACATTTGAATATTGGTAACTGGCAGGTTTTAATATAGAAGATCTTTAGTTACTTTGAAATTCAGAACTATTGTTACTTGCTTTTCTGTTGATTCATTTAGAAACTTAGTGTTCCTTACTGTTGTTAATTTTTTTCTTTCTACTTAATATCACTATTATCCATCCATTACCACATAACTGTCTAAATTTATTAAATACATAAATACTCTAAACCATGCACTGTGCTGAATATATTGCAGGTATTTATTGACTTAATCTCGCAGGGCCTAGAAGGTAGATAATGTTACCCCTATTTTCACAGGGATGTAAACTAAAGCTTACAAAGTCTTAGATAAGTTGCTCCAGGTCATATAGTAAGTTATAAAACACAATAGAATTTCAGCCTATATCTAATCATACCTAAGAGCTTTGCTTTGTAATATATTTGGTGATACATCAGATAGACCCTTAGAATACCAGTACTAAATTTATAGTGTTATACATGTTGAATCTGTAAGCAGTTGAACTATAGGCTTACTGACTCAGAACTATCATAGTAATTATTTTATGATAAAAATTAATGAATTATTTTCTAATTGTATGCTTTTCTTGTTTGAAAGAAAAAGTGGAAGGCATGGTCCAGTTTACTGTGGATTCATTGATCTGAGCCTACCTTAGGATTTAATTTAAATAATTTTTATTATTGATCATGTCAGAATTACTCAATATAATACTTGATCCTAAAAATAACCTTCCATAATTTAAATTTCAAATATGATATTAAGAGGCTATCCACATTGCATGTTTTGGGATGAAGTCAAGAAATCAGAGATTCTGTTATTTGGTAAAACTAGAATTACTGTAGAGTTTACTGATAAACACATTTCTATAATAAAACAGCACAGATGAGCTGAGCACAGTGGCATACACTTGTAATCCTATTGAATGAGAGGCTCTCAGGTAGGAGCATTGGAGGTTACAAGCCAGCCTGGGCAAATTAGTAAGACTCTGTCTCAAAAAATAGTACTGGGGATGTGGCTCAGTAGTAAAATGTTCCTGGGTTCAGTCCCTAGTTCCGGGGGAAAAAATCAGCCCAAAAGTCATTGTATTGAACATAAATCTTGGCAGACAATCTGAATGTGCAAATTGAGGGATATCAACATAGAAAGCATTATAATTGTTCAAATTTATTTAGCTGTACATATAGATCTAACTGCTTATTCAGAAAGTGGTACGTATTTTAGTTGTATTTCAGTAGATTTCTATACTATCTATGAGTTTTAGGCTATTTACATTAAAGTAAACTGTTACCAGATTTAGCATGCATGCATGCATTCATTCATTCATTACTAGGATCAAATACAGGATGGTGTATTACTCAGGTGTTCTGGCCCTTTTAATGTATTCTGAGACAAGGGTCTCTCTGAGTTGCTTCAAACTTGCCATCCTCCTCCCTCAGCATCTCAAGGAACTAAAATTATAGACATGCAGCTCTTCAGCTATTAAAATTTTTTGGTGAGGTTAACAATACATAGGCCATTGGTGTATCTATTGTCAAAGTAGTCAATATAAAAAGAATGATTAGAACAAGACATAAGTGCATCTTGTCAAACATTATAATTCTGTAGTTTGTGTTTTAGGATTTGTTTACACAAATCTCTTTCTTTCTCTCTCTCTCTGTAAAATCAGGTAACTCAAAATTATTTGATGTTAGTTTGTATCTTTCCTTTGTTATGTTAATCAAAATTTAAGAATGCATAAAATGAAGCTGGTCAAATTAAGACAATATCTGAGATCAGCTAGAACCTTGTATTGAAGATGTTATGCTGAAATGACAGACTTTTATTATTTTGATTCCCAAATATAGTATCAGTACATGTAATCCCATGGACTTCCTACCATAATTCTTTGTGGCAATATGCTGGTCACTGTTCATACTCCTAGTGTAACTGTCTAATCTTGCATTAAAAGGGTGCTATGATTGCTATAAAAACTACTTGAGGAGCAAGGAATGTTGAAGTTTTATATATGTATAAATTTATTTCCTACCGTATTGCTGTTTTGAAAAATAATCTTTATTATCAGAAACCCAAATATATGAAAAAATAAGGGAAATCATAGGAAAAAGATTTTCACTTATGACTTACCAACTCATGGCCAGCTTTGTTTTATCCCACTAATGCAGAATTATTTTGAATCAAATTCCAAACATTTATTATCCAGAAATATTTTATTGTATATTTTTTAAAGATAAGAATTTTTGAAAATAATTAATATTTAGATTTTCAGATAGCTCAGATTTTCAAATAGTGAGACAGTGTTCAAGCTTCCATTGGTCTCAGAATTCTTTTTTATGGTGTGCTTGTTGGAAACAGGTTCCAAATAATATCTATACAATATAATTCTTAATTTGTCTCAAGTGTCCTCTAAGTTATAGTTCCTCATTCTTCTCATTTTTTCCCTTTCAAAATATTTATTGAAGAAATTGAGGGGTTGTCATGTAGAGCTTTTTACATGTTTTGCCAATGAAATTCCCATGTTTTTCTACCCCATTTTCTGTAATCAGTAGTTAGATTTAAAGGCTTGATTAAACTTGAGTTTTGCTTTCTGGGAAGAGTATCTAGCAGGTAGTGGTATGTATTTTAATCAACATATATCTAGTTCTGTCTGTTGTGGTTAGTAGCCATATGATGATCATTGTCCCCTTTGCCTACCTTTTATTCGTTATGGGTTAAAAATCATAATATTCTAATTTTGTACTACCTTCTTCATTTATTAAGTAATACATTCCTATAAAATGGTATTTTTCTCCCATAAGAGCAACAAATGATCCTTTAACATAGGTTTGAATTGTGTGGGCCAGTTACATGTGGATATTTTGTTTTGGAGATATGTGGCAATTTGGGACAACTTGATGAATAGCATTGTTTTAACACTATTGAAAAAATTTAGAATAAGTCAAGTATGTCATGCATGCATAAATAACTATCTATGTAGATAATAGTCTGTTTTATCACCCACTATCACAAAACATACAAATCTATTATAAAAAGTTGAAATATATCAAAATTTGCACACAAAAGTTATAGGTGGTGCCATCCACAGAGAAATATAAGCATACATGAGGATGCAGTATTAAATCATAGTTACATAAAATAACTGTCATCCATGTGGTGCCATAATAATTTTGTAGCCATTTTAGGATGAAGAACTCAAGTATTTTGAGTGTCTGCTTAAAATGTCATGTGATGTGAACCATCTATGTGTGAGCAGTTCATCTTTCTAGTAAATTGTCAGTCACAGTAAAAAACAACCTTTCATGGTCCTTGCATAATTTTCACTGTACATAATGTATCCAGTATATAACATCTACTGTAATTGACTGTTTATGTTGTTGGCAAGATTTCTGGTCATCAGCAAGCTATTAGTAGTTAAATTTTTGTGGAGTCAAAATTTATACATAAGTCAGACATAATGGCATATGTGTATACTCCCAACACTCTAGGAGGCTGAGGCAGAAGGAGCTGCATCCCCTCATTTTAAACAAAACTTTTTGGGACAGGGTATAACTAAATTGCTGCAACTGGGCTCAGACTTGACATTATCCTACCTAAGCTTCTTAGAGTTCTGGGCTTACAAGATTGTAACACTGTGTGTAGCTGATTTTGACATGTAAGTATTGTCAAAAATGTAATGATGTATTAGAACTATGATAGATAGGCCGGGGATTTAGCTCAGCGGCATAAGCACCTGCCTGGCAAGCAGAGGTCATGAGTTCGATCCCTGGTACAAAAAAAAAAAGAAAAAAAAAGTTATACAGTTCAAAAGAAAAATCTCTTAAAGAATATTTAGAGGGATTTAGCATCTGTCCTAAGTCACTACTTTTTAAAAGTTTTAGTTCCTGTTTATCCATCTGTCCCTCATTTTAGAAACGTATTTGTACATTGTGTGTACTTATCCACCTTGCTTGTGTTGTTTGTTGGTTTTGCTGCTGGCATTAAACCTAGGGCCTGTGTATGCTAGGCAGTACTCTACCACTGAGTTCCCCGTTTTGTTACTTTTACAATATAATGTATCCTGGATTTTGTACCATGGTCTGCAGCATGCATTCTCAATGAAAGATATGATTGCCAAGAGGACAAAAATTGGTTATGAAGATTGCAAAATATCTATACAGTAGGTACAATATATTAAATAGTTATGACCCTCCAGAGAGCCACAATACATAAAAAGATACATAATATAGGATAATAAAATTTCATGAGAATGTGTGCAATAACGAAAAAAGGTTAAGAAACTGCCCTATAGCTACATATAGGTTTTTCTCAGTTCTTTTAAAAATATATAAAATAAATATTCCATGGTTTCTCTTAAATGACAAACCCAACTTATAAAGAGCAAAATAAAAGATAGATAATAGGAAGTAAGGAGATAGATCTTTTCCAAACAGGAACAGGATGAAGAGATGAGACAAGGGAAGGAGAGAAAGGGAACGAAAAAAGGGAATTAAGATGTGTTATATACACGTACCAACTCCACACAAGGAATATAAACAATATGTATTATAAACATATAGCATTTTATAAGAATGTTTTGTGATTTCTTTTAATTAGTTCCCTACTGGTCAACACTTGAATTACTTCTATTCATTATAGTCATGAGCAATACTGTGATGAATTTTTGACAGTGCATCTTATAGATTGCAAGAAATGAGATTCCTAGGTGAAAGGGTAATTCCTATGTAATTTTGCTAGGTAATGCCAGGTTCCTTTATGGTGATAGTTTGGTTTGTACAAATGGGTGTGTCCCAAATTAGTCCAGTGTGAGATGTTAATTCCTTTTGATGAGAAGCTTATAAATCTTGTAATTAGCTGTAAGAAATATAATTTCACTGAAAAAATACAGACTTACGGATTATTTCACTCCTCAGATTTGTTTCAGAATAATTACTACTTTTGCTTACCAAAATTGTTTATGAGGAGCAGTATACCTCTGTAAAGGCAAATGGTTATAACTGTTTTTAAAATGTATATATGCTGTCTTTGTCAGAAAGAAAAGTGCTAACATGAAAAGCTTTTTTTTCCAAGTAAATACTATATATGCGCATGCTTTTTAAAAGATTTGTTTAGTATAAAACTAAGTTTAAATGTTTAAAAATTATCCCCAAAGATGGAGCTTTTATTTAATTAGGGTTATTTATTTATTTATTTTTGTACTGGGGATTGAAATCATGATCACATGCTGCCCAGGCAGGTGCTTGGTTAGTTATTGTAGTGCTAGGGATTAATCTAGGACCATGATAGGCAAAAACGCAGACTGTTAGGTTTTTTGCTTTGTTTTTTGTGCCAGGGATAGAACTCACAACCTCATGTTTGTGAAATACGCACTTACGCGGCTGAGCTAAACTCCTGTCCAGACTGATAGTTTTTTAAAAAAAATTTAAAAACCATTTATAGGGCCGAGGATTTAGCTCAACAGCATAAAGCACTTGCCTTGCAGGCACATTGTCATGAATTCGATCCCTGGTACCCTCGCCCCTAAAAAACTATTTACAATAACAGATACATAAAAATTTAAGAAGTGTACTACTTAAAATATTTTTATTTCCTAGATTATAAAGGCATCTTTTCCATTGGCCTGTTTCACTTAAATTTTTGAAATACTTTGGACCGACCATGTTATCTGGGTTTTAGTTCCTCTTTTTATAGAGGTACTAAATTGTGTGGCAAAAATCCCTTTGTATATAAGTGCACTACTTCCTCATAAGTATCAGTCATGTGATTTCTCACAGCTTTCAGTTTAATAATCTGGAGGCTTGTATACAATAACTCACAGTAATCATGACAGAAATTGAATTGGGTCAGTCTGTACCTGTGGTCCTTTAAATTATTTATGTGTACCTAGAATACGGTCTTGTTGAAAATGTCTGGGGAGCTATCACCACGATGTTCAATTAATGACTAATGAAGAAAAGAGTTAAAATATCTAAATATTTTTTCTGAAAATAATCACAAAGTTCACCAAGTAACCAAATTTTGTAAAACACATTTATAATTTAGATGTTGAAGATAAAATAGAGAAAAACAGAAATTCGGAGATAAAGTGAAATTATTAAAGTTAGTTAGGCTTACTAGAGGGGTCTCCATTTTACTAAAACATCATGTTATTGTACAGGTATTCAGTTAGTAAAGCTTTGTCTTCTAATTTCCTTGAAAGTGGAGTGAATTTGTGATTATTAAATGAAAATATATGCATAACATTTTTCTTTTTTGTAGGCATTTGGGATCACAGCTTTGTGAATTAGAAAAACTGATAAGTAAAATGATGATTGCAGAATTTTCTACTTATTCTCACAGTCACTTAAATAGACCATTCGAAGATGATTGTCAAGTTTTAGAAGAGGTATATGTTTTAAACTGTGGCATGTGATGTTACTACTTAATGTTAATTAGGGTTAAGGCATGTATTGAAGAGTTTTATGTAAAGTGATTTTTATATGCCAAGTTACTACTCATTCAATTCATTGAATACCTTATGAAAAAACATTATGAACATGTTTTATGCATGTGCATGCATAAATATATCATATCCTAGCTCTACCTGTCTGGTAACTTCTCATTCTTATTCATTGCCAAGAACTAGTAGAAAAACTAAAAGGCCCCAACTAGTAACAGTATAAATAAAGAAATATACATTGAAAGTTGATTTTCATTTGAGAGCTTGAGAGTCTATATTATCATTCTAATCTTCTAGACCAAAATTTTTTTGTTTTTTTAAAAGTTAAGGGGCTAATTATTGGTCTGCATGGGTTGAGAATACTTTCTAATACTTCATGAAAACTAGGGCAAAAATATCTCGTGTTTTGTTCCCAAGCCAGCTTCATTTGATCCAGTATGATAGAATACGGTTTATCCATTTTAGAACAGAAATTTCAAAATCTGATAAGATTATTCAGAGGGTTTTTTAGACTTCTAGAAATACCATGTGCTGAATTGAGGTCTGAACAAAACCCTTAATGCTGAATATTCCTTTCTGTAAGTCAGATTGTTTCAAATTTAAAATGTGAAATTACATATTCTTCTCTTTAATAGGAAAGATTAGTATCGCTTATATTTGGACTTTTAAAACAAAGAAAACTTAATTTTTTAGAAATCTATGGTGAAGAAATGATTATTACAGCAAAGAATATCATTAAACAGGTAACTACGCATTTTTATTTTATATAGCCTATAATCTTCTTTTGACTTTATGTCATCTAGTAATTTACATAGGTTATAGTATAATCCTAACACTTGCTCATTTAAATATGGAAAAACAGAATAAAAACATAGCCCTGCCAGCCAAGATTATCACTTTAAGAATATTTCTACCTGTGGATCATTACTGATTTTTTAATTGTCACTGTCATAATGTGTGTGATTTTGAATATTCATTTCAGTTAAAATCAACATGTGTTTTCTCATGTTATTACACAGAACTTCAGAAGCATCAGTATTAATGATTTTTAAAATTTCATCGGTATTATGTTGGTTAAGTATGTGTGACCTTTCCTGTACTTTGAACATTTAGATTGTTTTCAATTTGATATCATAAATAATTCTATGGCAGATGTCTTTGGTGCAAAGTTACTTTTTTATAGTTAAATTTATTGGTACATTTAAAAATATACATGATGATCACATTCATCACAATTCTTTTTTTTTTACCCCATTCCTCTACCCTCCTTCAACCCCTCTTCCCCTCCTTATTTATAAAAGTTTTATTTCCATTTTTCCTTTTCTTGCTTTTTTTTTTCTTTTCTCTTCCTTTTTTTCTTCCAAGCTGCTCCTTAGTTCCCCTTCCTATTTGATAATATCTGGTATACGTTTTAGTCCTTATTTACACTTTGTTTCTTACAGTAGAGAGACAGTGTGATATTTACATGTGTGTATAATTTATTTCACTTAAGAGTATAATGTCAAGGTACAGCTATTTACTTAGAAATGTCTCAGTCTTATCTTTCTTTATGGATGAGTATTGTATAAAAAACTACTTCTTTTTTTTTGTTTTTTTTTTAAAAAAAACTACTTCTCTATCCATTCATCAGTTGATGGTCGTTTGGGCTGTTTCCAAGATTTCAGATGGCCATTTTTGAACTGAGTCTTTAAATTTGAGGTGTCTAATTTTTTTGAGTTCTTTATGTATTCTACATATTAGATCTTAAAGGAATAACTGTCAAAAATTTTTCCCACACTATGAGTTGTTTCTTCACTCTATTGGTGGTTTTGTTTGCTGTGCAAAAGCTTCTTAGAGATCCTAGTTGTTCTTTGTAATATTTCTTGTGCAATGGAGTTTTGTTCATAAAGTCTTTGCTTATACCTCTGTTTTCAATAATTCTACCTATTCTCTCTTCCAGCAGATTTAGTATTTCTGTTTTAATATCTAGATCTTTGATCCATCTTGAGTTTCATTTAATGCATGGTGAGAGACATGGATCTTTGGCACATGGAAAACCAGTTTTTCTGCTAAAGAAAATATCTTTCTTCCACTTAATGTTTGACCTCTTTGTCAAAGAGTGTGTTTGACTATGTTTGGCTGAGTGTGTTTGGAGTTGGATCTGCATCTCTAATCTCCTTAGGTCTGTTTTTATTTTTTTTGTTCGTTTGTTTGTTTGCCACTACCATGCTGTTTTTATCATAGTAGCTTTGTAGTATAATTTCAGGTCACGGGTTGTGATGCCCCCAGCTTTACCTTTGTTGCGCATAGTTGTTTTTGTTACTCTGGGTCTCTTCTGGTTTCAAATACATTTTAGTATGGTTTTCTCTAATTCTGTGCTGTTGGCATTTTGACCAGGATCACGTGAAATCTGTGTAACAATTTTGGGAGAATGGACATTTTTACTATATGGGCTTTTCCTACCCAAGAGCAAGGGATAACTTTCTGTTTTCTGATATCTTTCTGTTCCTTTTTCAGAGTACTGTAGTTTTTCAATGTAAAGATGTTTTACTTCCTTTGTTCGGTTGATTCCAAAGTGCTTCAGTTTTTTGGATGCTATGGTGAAAGTTGTTGTTTCCCTAATTTCTTTCTTAATGAATCTATTATTTGTATTAAGAATGATACTGATTTTTGAGTGTTGACTTTATATCCAGCTACACAACTGACTTTCATTATTAAATCTAGGCGTCTTTTGGTGGAGTTCTTGGGGTTCTCTATGTAGAATATCATGTCATCTACAAATAATGATAATTGAACTTTTTCTTTTCCTGTGTTTATTCCTTTTATTTCTTTCCGTTGTGTCCTTGCTCTGGCTAATGTTTCCAGAACCATATTGAATAGGAATGGTGATAGTGGAATCCTTGTTTTGCTCCTGATTTTATAGTGAAAGCTTTCAGTTTTTGATCATTTAGTATGATGTTGGTTGTTGGTTTGTCATAGATTTTATCAAACAGAGATAAAGGGTTTTTATCATGAATGAATATTGGAGTTTGTCAGATGCTTTTTCTGCATCTGTTGAGATAATCATATGATTTGTGTTTGGCTCTGTTGATATGGTGTTTTACATTTATTGCTCTGCATCTGTTGAACCATCCTTGCATCCCTGGAATGCATCCTTGGTCATGGTGTGCAGTCTTCTGGATGATTTGCTGCATTATTTGCCAGTGTCTTATTGAGGATTTTTATGTCTATGTTCCTTAGGGAGATTGGCTTGTAGTTCTCTTTTTTGGTTAGGTCCTTCTCTGGTTGTGGTATAAAGGTAATGTTTTCTTTTAGGAATGGCTTTGAGAGTATTATTTCCCTTTCAATTTCATTAAAGAGTTTGAGGAGTAATGGCATTACATCTTCTCTAAATTTATTGTAGAATTCAGCAGTGAGTCCACCAGGACCTGAGCTTTTTTTTTTGTTGGAAGGTTTTTAATTACATCTTCATATTAGAATACAGGTTCTTGAATTCGATATCTTCTGAAGTTCTGCAGGATCTCTTGTGATTGCATTTTTTTTCATTCCTAATTACATAGATTTGAGGTTTTTTTGTTTTTGTTTTTTTGAATCAGGGTCTTGCTATACAGTTCAGAATGGCCTTGAACTTCTGTTGTAGCACAGGCTGACCTTGAACTCACAGCGATATTTCTTCCTCAGTCTTCCCTTTATTTTTTTAAGTAAGATTGGCTAAGTGTCTGTAATTTTTATTTATTTGTTTAAAGAACCAACTCTTCAATTCATTGATTCTTTGTATTGTTTTCTTAGTCATCACTGCATTACTTCTTGCTCTGATCTTTATAATTTCTTCCTTTGTATAAGCTTTGGGCTTCATTGCTCTTTTTTCCAGAAGCTTGAGGTTCAACATTAGATTGTTTATTTTGAGTTCACTCTGTTTTCCTGAGGTGAGAGCTCACCATTATTAATTGCCCTCTTAAGACTTTCATCATATCCTATAAGTTCTGGTATATAGTAGTGGCATTATCATTTAATTTTACATACTGTTTAATTTCATCTTTAATTTAATATTGACCCATCGGTTGTTTAAGAGGATGTTATTTAGTTTCCATCAGTTTATGAAGTTTGTGTGGTTTCTTTGCCATGGATTTCCAATTTCATTGCACTATGATCTGATAATATGCATGGGATAACTTTAATTCCTTTGCATTAACTTGAGCATTTTCTGTGAGCCCCAATATGTGATCTCTATTGGAGAAAATGTATATTCTGATGTTGTGGGTTGGAGCACTCTGTAGACATCTACCAAATCCTTTTTTCACAGATTTGGTTCAATTCTAATATTTCTTTGTTGTTGTTGTTTTTTTCTAGTTTGTGACGGTGGGGGATTAAGATCCCCCACTATAATGGTGTTAGTGCTTATTTGATTTTTCATGTCTTAATAGTTATGCACTAGTATTTGGTACATATGATTGTTATCTCTTCTTGGAATTTTCCTTTGACAAGTGTGTAGTGATCTTTGTTTATTTTGATCAGTCTTGGCTTTTAGTTGACTTTGTCTGCAAATAGAATAACTACCCTGACTTGTTTCTGGGCTCTGTTTGCATGAAACATTGTTTTCTGTCCTTTGACTTTCAGTCTGTAAAGTTTTTAGTTAAATGTGTTTCTTTTTTGCAGCTTGTTTCTTGATCCATTCTGCTAGCATGTTTCTTTTGATTGGTGAATTGAGACTCTTTACATTGATGGTAATAACTGATATGTATTGGCTTATTCTTGTTATATTATTTTCCTGTTGTCGGTTTCCTGTCTTTCCCCTCTGTTTAATTGCTTGCCTTGAGTGGTGGCTTCTTTCTAGAAGTTGGGATTCTTGGAATTCTGGGGTTTTTTTCTAAAATATGTTTCAGAACATTTTGTAGAGGTGGCTTGGTGGTCTTGAGTTTCTTCAGTTGTTCGTCGTGGAAATATCTTATTTTTCCATTTATTTTGAAAGATAGTTTTGCAGGATACATCAATCTGGGTTGGAGATTGTTTTCTTTCAGGATTTGAAATACTTCAAACTCTTCTTGCCTTCAGGGTATGTGTTGAGAAATCTGTAATTTTGATGAGCTTTCCTTTGCAGGTGACCTGTTACTTTTCTCTAACTGCTTTTTAATATTCTTTAATGTTCTTGTGGTGAATTTCTGGAGTCTTGATTATTATATGCCTCAGTGTAGGTTTATTTTGGTCATGGCTATTGGAGTTGTATATCAAATTTTTTTCCATTCTTGGGAAGTTTTCTGCCATTACTTCTGTGAAAAGGTATGTTATAGCATTTGTATTGTCTCCTGCTTTCTCACTGATCTGATCAATGTTATGTTCTTTGCAACATTTTGCAGCTGTTGGGTTGATTTTTCGTGGTCATTTGCTATTAAAAAAATCTTTTTGTGATAACTAACTGCAATCTTCTCTTCTAGATATGATATTCTGTACTCATCTTGGTTCAGTTGGCTGCATATACTTTGGAAATGTATATTGAATTTTTAATCTCTTAGATACCTGTTTATATCTGTTTCATGCTTTCCATTTCTTTCCTCTTTTGAGCATTCATGGTTCTCATCATTTTCCTAAGCTCCTCTGTATTTTTCTCTGTGTCCACTCTAGATTCACTAAGCAATTCCTTCATTTTGATCGTCTCTTTTTTTACCTGGTAGATTGTTTTTGATCTGATTTTCTCGATAGCCTCATTCATCTATTTCTTTTCTTCTACTGATACCATTCAGAAAATTCAGGTGGGTGGCTTCTGATTTCCTCTCTCTTGTTTTCTCCTCGACTTGTCATGGGTGGAGTGGAGGTCTGGGGTTGCATTTTACTTCTATGACTTGTCATTTTCTATATTTGAATTTTAATTCATTTTCTGTGTTGATGCTTATAAAATTCTTATGGTAGATCTCTTTTATTACTAGTATTGTGGCCTCTGTAGACAATGTCTGTTCTTCAGAGATGTCTTCTGGGTGTGGCTGGTTCTGGTCTTTGTGTCTGTCCCAGGATCCTACCTTCTCAATTTATTAGGGTTGAGAACTTGCTATCTGTTTGGCTCACCACCCAGTCTTTTGGTACTGGACTATGATGATGCCCCCAGATAATCACAGTGTTGTTACACAAAAGAGAACAATGGATTAAACAGATATTACATCCTGGCTAAAGTGATACAATTAGTATTAATAAAAGTATCAAACACGGCCTAGGAAGTGAAAAACTGTGGTAACTATCAATTTGGTACTTTTCAACATAGGAACATAATCTACAGTTTTACAGCAAATTCTGACCTAAACCAGGAATTTGTATGTAGTGACTTTCCCCTCAGTACAGTGATTTTTGCCCCTTATGGTGGTGGGGGAACTGAATTTAAGAGGGAGAGGATACAAAATAGAGATCAAAGAAGAGACATAATGAGAGCAAGGAAATAGAACAAAGGAAGATCTCTCAAGTTTTGGGAAACTGGAGGACAAGAGAGAGAATGAAGGAGGAAGCAAAAGCATATCAAAGTGAACCAGAAAGACTGGAGGCCTTGTTCACTCACATGAAAATATTTAAGAAAGACAGTTGAGAGAAAAAAAAAATGAACAAAATAAACAATGAAGTAAATAAGTAAGAAAATAAAAACTTAAATACCACCCCCCCAAAAGACAAAAATGAACACAAAGAAGAGAAAAATAATAATATTTCTCTGATGTCTACAGTTCTATGGTATTGTCCAAGTCAGAGTCTAAAACTGTGCTGGTAGTCCTGCCAAGTCTGCTGTAGGATTAGTGTTGGGTGTGAGGCTGGTCTTGGCCAACAGATATGGAGGCTGGGGCCAGTCTTCAGCCAGCAACTTTATGTCTTGGTCAGCTTAGGTCTCCTTACCATGTTTGTCTCTGCCTTGCCCTCCCAGTTGCCGTGGCACCTTCAGACAGAGACACTCTGAGGCTGCTCCCAGTCCTTGCGGAGCTTCCTCTGTTCCACTGCCATTGCACTGTCTCCTCTCATGCTGCTGGTCACAGGATGGGGAAAGTGCTGTTGGTAGACTCACCACCCCTACCAAGGCTGTAGAGGCAAATCTAGCCTGCTTGGTCCTGCTTTTTTCTCCTCTCTAACAGGGAGTGCTGACTTTCCACTCCTTGCCCTGACATAGACCAAGGCTGCTTAAATCCTGTTTGTGTCCCTCTCTCACATCACAGACCTTTAACCTTGTTGTTCCTAGAGGTTCCAGTTAGCTGATGTGATGCACAACAAAAAGAAGAAGCATTTAAAAAAAAAAAAAAAAATTGGCAGCTCATGGAGAAGGATCAGCTTCCTGCTCACTTGCCCCTGTGAATGCATGCAAAATTTGCTGCCTGGCTACAATAGATTGTGTTTGAAGGAAGGCAAAAGAGGCTAGGGGCCTTAAATCCTAAATTTATCCTGTGTAGCTTGTTTGCCACACTGGTGCAGCCCATCAACTCTTTAGGAAACTTCCCAGAATGGCAGCTCCTGTTTCGTGCACAGGCAGATTTCCCACAGGCAGTCCTGTGGTCTGTCCCATCATTTTATAAAGTCCTATGCCTTTGCTCTTTTGATCTACAACTCACTTATTTCAGATTGATTTTGGTATCAGGATATATATCTTTCCCTTTCTTCCAATTACCTATAATTTTAGATGATTTTCTCTGAATAACTCCAACATAAGTCTGCCTCTGTTCAGCCATGCTGAATCACTCAAGTCCGTTTTTCTTATAAGTTTCTTAGACTGATTTCCAAAAGGTGAATTATTGGCCAGAAAGTAAGAAGTATTTTAAATTGTTTGATACGTTGAACTGGATTGCTCCTTAAAATCTTTTGCCAATTTATACTTCTACCAGAAGTAGGTAAATGTTAATTTCCTTTTTACTTTGATACATAGGAAATTATAAACTAAAATGTTTTGTTTTCCCTGATCTTTTTTTATTCTGATAAGTCTCATCTAATGATTTTTCAGTTTTTCTATATGTGAAAAAGGCTTAATTGTTATCATTAGGTTGAATGTACATTTATGAATTTTTAGTGTTCGTACAAATTTTTAAAATTTGCAATCACCTTCTGTTACAACCCTCTCAAACGCTGATTAAGACATTGTATTTTTAAATTGATATAACCATTTTGGAAAACTTAGCAGTATCTACTATGCACACATTATGAACCAGTATGTCTATTCATAAATATTCATACAACAAATTCTTCCATAAGTTCGCCAAAACACAGTGGAATAATGTTTACAACATTACTTGCTAAAAAAAAAAAAAAAATCAAGCTCCATCATCTGTAGAAAGAATAAATAAAATTGTGGTATATTTATACAGTGAAATACTATACAGCAATGAGAATAAGTAAATTATTCAGAACTACATAAATGAACATTACAGACAATGTGAAAGCAAAGAAGCCAGAGTAAATAATATATGAGTCCACTGTATAAAATTCAAATAAGAAAAATCAATGTACTGTTTAGAAACAAGATAGTATCTTTTTAGAGGAAGCAATAGATGGGCAGAGAGCTGGAAAGGGGAACTTGGGCACTGATACTGTTGAGTTTCAAATGCTGAGTTTGGTTGAAGAGATGTATTGCATTTGTAAAGAAGTACTATATTACCAACATAGCTTATATGATCTTCATATATTTCATATATTATGTATATTTTAAGCAAAAATTTTAACATCACGTCTAAATATTCATTATCTAAATAGTAAAGCATTTATAGTATGAAGTCTCAGCATTTATTATTCTAAATTTTAAAACTGTTGCTTGCTATTGAAAGAAAAACCTCCATATGCATTTCTTTTGGGACATTAATATCAGAGTTATACTTTGTTTTTAAGTATTAGATTTCTGTATTTCTATTTAGGATTTTGAGTAGTTCGAATGAGAGATTTTGATTGTTATAGTTGAAGCATACTCTAAAATAATTAATACGGTAGCAGTAATGCTTCAGTTTTTCAAACACCATAAGGTACGTATAAGAGATATTTTAAAAATCTGGTAAATTGATTATTATAGTCAACAAGTCCTTTTTAATTTACAGATGAAGCATTCAGTTTTTAGGATTCTGAAGAATTAATCGAATTGTTTTTGTTTCTTAAATTTTGCAGTGTGTGATTAATAAAGTTTCACAAATAGAAGAAATAGACACTGATGTTGTTATGAAGTAAGTATTAATATATAGGTTGGTAGTTTTCACTTAGGAAAAGATGCCAGTTATTCTAATTTTGTTAGGGTATTAGTGGTTGAGGTATGGGACAGGGTGTAATAAAATCATAAGTGACACAGGGCACTATCTTTGAGAGACAAGGGAATTAAATTAACAGGATTAAGGAGAAAGGTAAAAGTTGTGTCCTTGCGTAGAGGATAATAATCATCCTGAAGTAACTTTCCAGGAGAGCACTGTAGTTGAGTACCATAGTATAGGCCTCCATCTGTGGGAGATACACTCCAATGCCCCAATTGAATGCCTGAAGCCACAGATATTACCAAACCCTACATATGTCACATTTTTCCCTATGGTCCCCAAAGTGCTGCCATATAACACCAGAGTTAATCTTCCTTTCCATGTTCTATATCCTCATGGTTTTTTGTGTCACTGCTCTTGTGCTGTGGGGACATTATTATTTTAACACAAGTATTACAATATTAAACCAGTTGATCAGAAAACTAAAACGGCTACTAAGTGACTGTGGGCAGGTAGTAACATGGATATACTAGGCAAAAAAATGCTTCATGTTCTGTGTGAGAAGCAGTTTGGCAGAAGGCATTATGTTATTCTGAATGGCACATAGGTTAAAACTTACGAATTTCTTATTTCTGGAATTTTTCATTTAATATATTTTACTGGATTGACTGGACAATTACTGCTACAGAATATGAAACAACAGAGCCCTTGTCAGGGCTCCTCATTGGCTAAATCCATTAGGTTGCCCTCACAGGACAAAGAAGAGGGTGGAAAAGGAATGAAAGCTAAGATTCAAAGCAGGACAACTGAAGATAATTCATATAGCAAGAATAGAAAGTATTAAGTTTAAAGTATTTAGCTATATAATTAAAACTGAATTCTAATTGGATTTGAGGTTTGAGGAGTTTAATATTTGATTTTGAACTCAGTCTTTTGTTTTTGTTTTTGTTTTGAGCCTTGACAATTCTTTTTTTTTTTTTAATTTCTTTCTTTCTTTGGTACCGGGGTTCAAACTCATGACATTGTGCTTGCCAGGCAGGCTGTTGTGCTGCTAAGCTAAGTACCCCGTCAACAGTTCTTACATTTTGAGAAAAATAGTATGTTTTGACTGAACTTTTCATTCATGTGGGTATTTAACTTTATCAGCTGGCCTAGGATATGAATACTAATATGGACACAGTGAAGCTTCTTGGGGGAAACCCACAGAATGGAGACCATAATGTGTTAATTTTTAGCCCATTTTTGATGAAAACTCAGTTTCAGAATTAGTTGAAGCAAAATAGATCCAAGTTAAGGACTAAGTAGGAATTAAGATAGGAAATGATAGTAATTGGAAGACATAAGTCAGTGGAACTGTTAGAAACTCAATGGATATGAAGAGTTAGTGACTTTTCTGTAGAGAATTTTCTCAATTTAATGTAGAGAACTTCCTCTATATCCAGTATGACAGTATTTTTTGAGAGTAAACTATTGGGTACAGCAATATTCATGAAAATTTTAGAGTAATAAGTTACTTAATGCTATAAAATATTTTATGAAGGTATTTTACATTAATTATTCTTTGAAGTTATTGATATCAACTATCAAAATAATGGTATTTGCTGATATGTGATAATTTTTAATGTGCCATGCATTGCTGTACATATTTTTTATTAACTCATTTAATACTTATAATAACCATGTGTATAGACTGTTTTTTCCCCATGTTAAGGCAAGAAAATTGGAGAACATAGGTACAAAGAAACTTGACAATCACATAGCTAGTAATCCCAGCAAGCTGCTGGAGTTTTGAACTGAGGCAGTGTGGCCACATTACTTTTTGTATGTGGGAAAGTATTTTTTAGTTTGTGGTAAGAAAAGTAGGTTATTAAATTTGTTAAGGAAGATGTTAATTTCTATTTTTATTCCAGAAGATACCCTTACATTTAACAAAAAGTGGCTTATGTCTTTATGATTTGTTTCTTCAATGGTCACATGGAATTGGCATATTATAAGATTTGCTAGTATATTTGATTAGATTAGTTTTTAAAAATATTTAAAGAAGTAGGAGTTGTTTGGCAGTTGACCTCTTTAAGATTGGATGATTTTAGTTAGAAATCTAGATAAAGTATTTTATTCTTATCACTCAAAAGTATGTTTTCCTTCAGTTTGGAAATGTTATCATATTAGCTCTAAGGCGACATTTTTTATGTTTAATTTTTTTCTAGGCTAGCAGATCAAATGAGAATGTTGAATTTTCTCCAGTGGTTTGATCTATTAAAGGATATTTTTTCTAAGTTTACAATTTTCCTACACAGAGTTAAGGTAAGCTTATGTGTAAGTTTGTCCAGAATATTCCTAAAATTCAGCCAGCTTTCTGGAATAAAACATAACTTTTTGTTTTTGTAATTTTTCTAAAGAGGTTTATTTTTAAATAAGATTGAAGTGCCTTGAAATATTTTAGGAACTACTATAATTTTAAACAAGTAGTATGTGGAAAAGAACACTTGCCACAGAACATTTTTTTCAAAAGAAAGATGTTACAGGCTATGATACACATTGTTTGGAATTACTAATATGCCATAGTTATGTTTCAGTATGAAGGAATTATTGAATGTGACAGTTAAAGGGAGCCATTTATGAAATTTGATATTGTTGGTGTTACAAAGTGTGAGAAGTGTGCTGTATGTGCTAGTTAATATCTCTAGACTTTCCTAAGTGCTGTGGTAAATCATCTCAGGGACTTTGTTACCTCTCTATGTCATGGTTTATCCTTATTTACATAGGAGCAATGCTAAGTCACGTGTAGAAGTGCTTCAGACTAAACCAGAAAAAATTTCATTGTGCTTAATTTAGATTGCTTGGGATTAGTGTGCTTAAAAATATTGATCCTACTATTGATAGTAATAGGCAACAGACCTTTTTGTATGGATGGATTATTCAACAATTAGGCCCTGTTTTCAGTTTTCATACATTTCTGTGACTTTTATCATCATATTTCATTTATTATTGCATGTCTGGATATACAGAACTCCTAAATAGTGTAGTATATATTTGATGAAGTTTTCACCAGTAATTTTTAAAGTAGCTATGCCTTTAGGCCCTACGTTTATTAAAGTAAGTAAAATTATTGTCTGATGCAAGTATAGTATGGAGATTATAATTTGGCATAGCTATAATCCCACATTTTCACATTTGAAGTGTGTAATATTTAAATAGAACATCTATAAATGTGATTTGAAACTGTCAAATATGATATTTATTTGAAAAAAGCTTGTGATGTTACTGAAAATTAATGGTAATTACAAGCTATTCATTTTAATGGAAGAATTTTTAAATTAAAATTAGTTCTATGTAGATTATTAGATTATAGGCCCATTTAAAATTTGTGTTACTTTGTTTTCCCCTAGATTTTCCTTAAAAAGGCATTATTTTTTATATTCGAAAGAGTTCTTTTGCATCTTTATTTGTAGCACTGGAGATTAAACCAGTGTCTCATGCATGTTGTACTATTAAACTATGTACCCAGCCCTTTGTTTTGTTTTTTAGTAGTATTTACTGTATTACAGGAATAAATAGTATTTGAATTGCTTGTTTAATTTGTCAGAGTTAATAATTTGCTAGCCTACATCCTTATGTTTATTTTTAAAAAACAAAGTATATTTATGTATCATTTTAATATTAAAGTAAATATTTTAAAATGACATTAAAGCATAAAATTCAATCTAGCACATCTCAGTAATATTTTGAATGGATTGAATAATAAAAGATTAGAATCTAAAAACTTACGTTTGAGTGACTATTAATTACTTGAGATAATGCTTCTCTTCCTCTTCCTCTTCTCCACTCACCCTTTTTCTTACCTCTTTCTTCCACTCCTTTCTGCTCCTTTTTATTACTAGGATTTAATCTAGGGCTTTCAGAATGAGCTCCATCCCCAGTCCTTTTTATGTATTTTATTATGAGTCACAATCTTGCAAAATCCCTGTTATCCAGACCAGACTCAAACTTGCTGTCCTCTTACCTCAGCCTCTCAGAGTGATGAGATTAAAGATGTATAACACCTTGCTCTACCAATAAATAATTCTATTATACTTCACTAGAAGCAAGTGCTATGATAAAGGGACCCAGAGTTACTTTCTTTCTGGAGATAATACCTATTTTAAAAAATATAATGATAAGAAAGAAGAAAATGAAAAAAAAATGGTGTCTAGATTTTGGTAGTTAAACCTGAATTTTGACTGCATTTGGATCACTTTATGTTACTCATGCAACCTTCAAACTTCAAGTCTAATAACTGCAGAAAAAACCCTAATAATCTCTGAAATGTTCATTTCACAAAGGGCTAATAAAGATCAGCTCAGGAGGATCACAAGTTCAGAAGCTAGTAAGACCCCACCTTTTACAGGCTCTAGAGTCTAAAAGTGAAACACTGCTAAAACTATTAACATGGTGAGGCCTTGGGTTGAATTGCCAGTACTTCTAAATAAACAGCATCAAGAGTTGGGCAACTCTTTGAGAATAGAGCCTTAATGAATTAGTTCCCTGAGATTTGTTTCACAATACCCAGTCATTTGCACTCATAGGCCGCTACAGCCATGATCCAAGGGGGCCCAGCCATGACTTGAGTGGTTGAAAGGCCTGGTATCATGCACATCATCTTGGTTTTATAGGCATGCAAAATGTAGGATTGTAGAGCCAGAGAGAATTCCACCCAGATTTTTGAGGAAGGCCTGGAAGGTCAGGATTGTGTCCCCTGAGGGGGTCATGCATAAAGCCATGGGAGTGAAGCCAAAAGTGTGTTAGAGACCCAAGAAATTAGAGAAGCCGCTAATATGAAACATCTGTGGAAAACCACAAGTCAGTGAGTAGAGCCACTCCAAGACAGAATCCATGAGGGTTATCTTTTTGATTTTACAAGGACACAGCTGATGTTTGCTCTGAGTCTCAGAGGAGACTCTGGACTTAGAGACTTTTTAACATTGCTGAAACTGTTAAGACCTTGGCAACTTTTAGAGATAGGCTAATTGCATTTTGCATAAAGAGATATCCTTAAATTTTGGGGAGGGCATGGGAAGAATGTTATGGTTCAGATCAAGAGTGTCAACTGGGTGTGGTAGCATAAGCTTATAATGCCAGCACTCTGGAGGCTGAGGCAAGGAAGATTGCTGTGAGTTTAAGGCCAGTTTAGGCTACATAGTGAGTTTAAGGCCAGTCTGAACTATATAGCAAGAACCTGTCTCAAAAAGAAGGCCCAAAACACAAGAGAATATCCCTCAAAGGCCTTATGTGCTCATAGGCAGGGCTTTTGGAAGCCAAGTGAACTGTGGTAGGAGTATGACATCTTGCTCTTAGGAGGTGGGGCCTGCTCAGAGGAGGCAAGGGGAGTCTGTCTCCCTCTTCATCTCTTCTTTCTTTGCTTTCTGGCTGCCATGCTGTGAACAGCCTTCCTCTGCCCAGGCCCTTTCACCATGCTGCTTCTGAGTTTAAGCCTGTCAAATACAGACTACAATTCCTAAAGCCAAATCAAAATAAACTTTAAATTGAAGGTATTAGACATACAGTGTCCCAGTGGTAAGAAAGTGATTAAAACAGCAATTTAATGAGACCATCTTATTTAAAAAAAAAAAAAAAAAAAAAAAAAAGGAAAAGTGCTTGCTATAGATACAATTCAGTATCGAGGTCCTGGATTCAGTCCCTAGTATTCCCAAAATTAATTAATTAATTAAAAAATAACATTATAAAGACTGGGGGTATACCTTACTAGTAGAAAGCTTACTTAGCATGGTGAGGCCTTGGGTTTAATTGCCAGTACATCTAAATAAACAGCATCAATTCATTCATGAAGTGGAGCTCTTATGACCTAATTACTTTCCTCCAGGCCCTACCTCTTTTTTTGATATATTTTACTGAGATAGGAATCTAATCACTTATGGTCTAAGAAAACTCATTAAAAAATCAAATATAGTCAAATGTTAAAGATTGATTTTGAAACTTTATAGCTATACCTGTTTTTTTGCATATGAGCTCTCCAATATAAAATCATATGCTGGAGGCTGGGAGTTTAGCTCAGTGACACAAGCACCTGCCTGGCAAGCATGAAGGCATGAGTTTGATCCCTGGTACCAAAATAAATAAATAAAAAAATAAATAAATAAAATCATGTCCGCAGGCCTGAGTGTGCTGGTACATGCCTATAATTCCAGCACTCGGGAGACTGAGCAGAAGGATTTCTATAAGCTTGAGGCTAACCTGGGCTGCACAGTGAGTTCAGGACCAGTCTGTACTGTATAGTAAGACCCTGCCTCAAAACCAAATAAAACAAAGCAAAACAAAACAACAACAAAAAATCATATTCACAACTCAATAACCATAAAAATATTCAGCACAGTTTGCTTAACTGTAAGCTGTTGGAAGCTACTAGTTTGGGTAACAACTTTTTTTTTTCAGGCTCTCAATAGCTATTATGCACACTTTTGTTAGAAGAGAGGTTATTATGAGAAGAGGAAAGGGATAGAAAGGAAAGAAGAGGAGAAAAAGATGATCAAAGCATGTTGTGTGCATGTAAGAAAATGTCACAAACTTTTTTCTGTATAATAAAATTCACTTTTGGTGACTTCAAGTATAAGATTTTGTGTATCTGTAAGTATGTGTGTGTATTATTGACAATTGAACACATGTTTTTTGTACTGTACTACATCCTCATCTTTTTGTTTTTTTAATTTTGAGTTATGATCTTGCTAAAGCTCTGAGTCGTCAAGGCTGGACTTGAATTTGTTATCCTCCTTGCCCCACCATGTCTGGGTTAAGTGTAAGATATTTTAAATTCTTTAAAAAATGTTTCTTTCTTCCTCTTTCTATTTCTCCTTGCAGGCGACATTGAATATCATTCACAGTGTTGTTCTCTCAGTTCTTGAAAAAAACCAAAGGACTAGAGAATTGGAGGAGATTTCACAGCAGAAGAATGCTGCAAAAGATAATTCACTGGACACAGAAGTGGCTTATTTAATCCACGAAGGCATGTTTATAAGTGATGCATTTAATGAGGGTGAATTAGCAACTGTAGCAGTTGACACTACCTCTCAAAGAAATGTATCTCCAAATAGTGAGCCCTGTAGCAGTGATTCGGTATCTGAACCAGAATGTGCTACTGATTCTTCATCCAGTAAAGAGCATACATCGTCATCTGCTACTCCAGGAGGTGTGGATATTGTGTGAGTATAATGGCTAAATAGACAGGCTTTTTAAATCATTTATTAATAGTTTTAGTACAATTAAATATTCAATTTATTTAAAAACCATGTAGATTTTCATCTTGGAATTTAACAAAAATACGTTGTTTGAAATATCTCTTTTTGGCATAAGAGGTAATGGAGAACTTATACAATTTCAAAGCTAAAAAGTTTTAACTTACTAAATTATTTAATTAAATGCCCTTAAATCAGTGATATAGTAACTGATGCTTGGAGCACTTACATGATTTACTTAAAATCACTAAAGCAGAACATTTGTGGGCCTAGATGGGTTGTTATTTTGTTCTTTGTTCTTTGTTATGATTGTATTATATATAGTGAAGATCTGTTCGGTTTGCTTTTTTTTTTTGTAATGGTGGTACTGGGGATTGAATTTCACTAAGCTACATTGCCAACTGTTCTTTTATTTTTTATTTTGAGACAATGTCTTGATAAGTGACCAGGTTGAGCTTGAATTTGTAGTCCACACCGCCTTATCTTCCCAGAGTACATTGCAGGCATGTACCACCAGACTTGACTGATTTGCAACTTTGCAATTTCAAGGACATGAATTTCCAGGTGGATCACAGTCTTTTTAAACATTATTTTAAAAACTTTATTGTGGCTGGGAATGTGGCTCAGTGGTAGAGTAGTTACCTGCATGTCCAAGACTCTGGGTTTGATCCCCAGCATCACAAAAACAAAAAAAAAATAAACTTTTTATTTTGAGATAACTTCAAATTAATAGAAAAATTGCCATAAAAATACAAAAGTCTCTCACACACACAAATTATATATATTAAATATATATATTTTATCCAGATTTCCCAGTTGTTGACAGTTCATCACATTGCCCCCTGGATCCTCTTTTCTCGCTTCTTTTTTTTTAATTTTAAAGAGAACAAAACAAAACAAGACAAAGCAGATCAGAACAGACCAATGCGAACAACACAGTACTTCAAAACAAGACAACAGGAAATCAACAGTGGCTACCATAATATCTCGTTTTCTTCGAAATAGTTATCTATACCTTCACACACAATAAATCCAAACAAAACAAAATAGTATAAAACCAATCAAAACAAAAGAATGAAAGTATTACGGGCCTTCAAAACTCCCTCTCTTTATACCTCGTGGTTTTTTTTCTGAATAAAAAAAATAATTCCGCAGGGGCCCCCCCCCCATGGTGATAGACACCAGTAATCCCAGCACTTAGGAAGCTGAGGCAAGGAGATTGCTGTGAGTTCAAGGCCAGCCTGGGCTAGATAATGAGTACAAGACCAACCTGAATTAGATAGACCTTTGTCTCAAAAAAAAAAACAAAAAAAAATTTTTTTAACAGTTTACAAAGAGGATGTCTTATTATCCCAATGTATGCACATACTACAATGTATATGTCCTAAACACATGAACATTCTACATAATCATAGTATACCACTTAAATACAAGAAAACTGGTAAATTATTACTAAGTCATCCACCAGAACTGAACTAGAATGTACTACTGATTCTTCATCCACCAAGAAGCAGACATCATTGTCTGCTACTTCAAAGTATACTAGATGTCTTAGTAATCTCTGGCATCTAAAAGTTAAAGCAAAACCAATAAAATCTTTCTGGTCCATGAATATAGTTCGGGTTTAGTGTTATTAATAACAAGACACAGTGCTGTTGCTCAGTTTATGTAAATCAGCCAATTTTCTAGAGGTTTATAAAAAGTCACATGTATAGCATTAAGCCAACAATAACACCTCCCTTTCTGTTGTGTAAATTTCACAAAGAGATGTAAAAGAAATGTCTGCTTCAAAAATTAGACAGAAGCCAGGGATGTAGCTCAGCAGCATAAGTGCCTGCCTGGCAAGCACAAGGTCCTGAGTTTGATTCCTGATACAAAAAAAAAAAAAAAGAAAGAGAAAGAAACACTCAGCAGTTCAAAGAACAACTCGGACAAGTCTAGCTCTGCGAGTAACAAAGCAGGTGACAGCTTTGCAGGCTACAGCAACACTGAAATAGCTAACCTCCTTGTGCCAGGCTACTGGTTTTATAGGGCACTAATTAAAACAACAAAAGTAAGATCAAAAGCAAGAAGGATCCTTGAGAAAAGTTATGTGAACTCCACTCCCATCCTGTCCTTATCAGGAAACTCCACTGGTCTCAGGAAGCACGGTCTAGTTATAGTAGAGCAAGATGACCTTGTTCTCAGTTTGGCACTCATCTTCAGCACTTGATGAGGACACATTGAACAGCTAAAACAGTGGCTCACTACAAGATGGAGTTACTTTGACTTAGCGTTTGGAGAGCAATTCTCACTATACTCCACTCCTTACACCGACTCTTATAATCTTTCCACCTCTTCTGCAGCAGTGTTGGAAAGGAGTGTTAGCTTTGACTAACAACTGAGCACTGGTCTGTTACATTACAACAGCAGATGCTTATTCCTAGAATGATGCAAGCATCCACCAATAATATGTGTCCCCAGTTTAAGTGTGGATGGGTCAGGATTTATTTATGTGTTTCTTCATTTATTTAAAGGATGGCCTCATCTCTGGGGTCTCCTTAAAGTTACTCCACCTTTTGAGGAACAAGGGTACCACATTTTGATGCATGCTCACTTAACTGGAGAAGGGAAGTTCACTCACTCATAAACTGAACTTACTGTGGGTTGTAAGAGTGGTACCTGCCTGCTGCAAGAAAAGGTTCCCTTGAGTGAGGCTGACAACAGAAGTAATCAATGGGCACAGATATTTAGATGGCAGTTTCTTTGGCACATATCTATTTAACAGAACAACCAGGTCTTTGCCTTGGCTTCTAATACCAAATGTGGGCTCCCTCAGTGTAAGAAAGTGGTTGGTTGCATCAAGACTAATCATGCCACTTTGCAAAATCTAATTTTGTGCCACCCCAGAGAGTGGCTTGGCCAAGGGCCTATGGTTCAGCTCTTTATTGGATATGTTGTGTTTGTCATTAAAGTAGATGCAGTGATAGATTGCACCCACTAGGGGGCGTTAGGTGGAATTGCTGCAGGAGCAGTTCTATATGCTTGGCTTCAACCTTTTCCATGATTAGAACCAGAGCTCTGTTGGAACTGTCTAGATTTCTTTATGCCACAACCTTTAAGGCTTTTGGTATTCTCTAGATCAAATGGGCACTAGGGACACACAACTGTTTAGGCCTTCCACAAACTAAACAGTTTTTTTTTTTACTTGAATTTTTAAAAATTTATTTTAAAGAGAATAAAACAAAACAAAGCAAACCAAAACAAAACAGAACAAAGTAGAGCAGAGTAAAACAATGCAAATAGCACAAGATTTCAGAAAAAGCAGGAAATCTACAGTGGCTGCCATGATGTCTCTTGTTTTCTTCAAAATAGCTGTCCATATCTTCATACATATTAGAATCAAGTAATTGAAAACAGACTAAAACCAATCAAATTAAGAATAAAAGCATTACTGGCTTTTGAATCAAAATGATAAGAAATCATCAATGGCTACTATGGTGTCTCATTTTCTTCAGTGTAGTTGTTCATATTATCACACATACTAAAATCAACTCTTGTAAACTTTTTAGGTGAAGTTCTAGGCATATATAAGCATATGCATGTACATTTACCTTTTCTGTATTAGAGGAAAAAAACCCAAGTAAATAACTGTATCTAAGAGCCCAGAACAAAAAAAGGTTGTAGGAAAATGACAATTTTTGTTGTTTTACATAGTTATCTTCAAAAGTCTTATTTGAATTACCAGATATAGAAATGCAAAGTTGATCTAATCATATGGATGTTGTCTGTTTTGTTCCAAGAACTAATAGAATTATTAGTACAATCATCTTAGTAATCTTAAGTGTATGGATACAAATTTATATCTTATTTTATTTCTCTTCCTTCTTTTCTCTTTTTCCCTGAGTTAGTTTTTTCTCTTTGAGCAGTTTCTTACCCTTTCAAAATATTTATTCAAGATTTTGTATCTTGTTTGCTCTTTCAGTTTCTTACACTAGGGAGACAATATGGTATTTACACATGTGATTTTGATTTATTTCACTTATGACTGTGGTCTCAGGTTATATCCATTTACTTATAAGCCTCAATGTGATCTTTCTTTATAGCTAAGTAGTATTCCATTCTATAAAATATCACATCTTTTTAATTCATTACAGAGTTGATGGGCATTTGGGTTGTTTCCAAGATTTAGCTATTATAAATTGTGCTGCTATAAATATAGGTGCACATATATCACTGTAATATGATGTTTTCAGTTCTTCTGGGAATATGCCCAGAAGTGGTATAGCTGGTTCAAATGGGACCTCTAATCCCAGCTTTTTGAGGAACCCCCACACTGATTTCCACAATGGTTGCACCAGTCTACACTCTTACCAAAAGTGCAAAAGTGTTCCTTTTTCCCAGTCGCCTCTCCAGCATTTGTCATTGGTGGTTTTCTTGATCTTGGCTATCCTTTCTGGAATAAGATGGAATCTCAGTGTGGTTTTAATTTGCCTTTCTCTAATGATCAATGATAGTGAACATTTTTTCATGTATTTATTTGCCATTTGTATTTCTTCATCTGAGAAGTGTGTATTCATTTCACATGCCAATTTTTGGATTGGGTCTTTAAATTTTGGGGGCCTAATTTTTAAAAATTCATTATATGTTCTAGATACAAGTCTTTTGTCTGAGGGACAGTTGACTAAGATATTGTCTCAATTCATGGGTTTTCTTTTCATTTTGTTGGAGATTCCTTTTGACATGCAAAAACTTTTTAATAAGACGAGATCCTAGTTGTTCGTTATGGGAAGTAGTTCATAAATTCTTTGCCTAGCCCTATGTGTTAAAGATTTCTACCTACTTTGTCTTCCAGCAGATTTACTGTTTCTGTTTTAATATTTAGATCTCTGATCCATATTGACTTTAGTTTAATACACAGTGATTGATATGGGTTTAGTTCTAGCTTTTGGCATATGGGAAGCCAGTTTTTCCAACAGCACTTACTA